ATATAAAGATAATTTATATTCGTATCGCTGCGTGAGAGGTGAAATTCTTGGACCGTAGCGAGACGTACGACTGCGAAAGCATTTGCCAAGAATGTCTTCATTAATCAAGAACGAAAGTCAGAGGTTCGAAGGCTATCAGATACCGCCCTAGTTCTGACCGTAAACGATACCAACTAGCGTTCCGTTGGCGGTAAATACGCCTTGACGGGCAGCTTCCCGGAAACGAAAGTTTTTCGGTTCCGGGGAAAGTATGGTTGCAAAGCTGAAACTAGCAAAGCTAGAATTATATATATATATATATAGATGACGATTGAGTTGAATAAATTAGTTTGGAATATGAGATAAATAAATAGATTAAACAGTGTAAACAAGGCACTAGATAAGTAAATATGAGTGATTGATGTAGGTATGATTAATTAACAGAAATAAGCAGTAAAAAATAATTTAGGTAGTATGCATAAAGCAGTATTAATATGGATGGAATATTTGCATCGATAAACTTAATTCCTTTATGAGTGACCCTACCCAATAATCCTTGAACTGATTATTGAACCAAAAAATAGAATTGCTTGAACTGATTATTGAACCAAAAAATATAGAATTGCTTGAACTGATTATTGAACCAAAAAATAGAATTGCTTAAACTGATTATTGAACCAAAAAATTGAACTCACCCTTCTGTTTTGTGAATGGTAATACAGCTCTTTTAAATTCCTAATTAAATCTTTGCTTTTCTATAGGTTAACATATCCTTAGTTATGAGTATGAAAAAGCTTTCCAACACAGATCTTTGCACATTGAGATATAATGAGGTCCAATATTTCGATTAAGCATCCCATTTTCGAATTCTTAAAATGAGACATAGTAGCAGCATGCTGTATACTGTTTTCCTTCGAACGGTGTTCAAATCGTTGCCAATAAAATTTATTTAAGTTCACGAACGATATAAATTTAAAATTCTTATTCCAGGTTTTGTTGCATTGCACTATCATTTTCATTGATTTAGCAATATATAATAAAGCTATTCAAGTTCAAATTTATGTTAGGTTATCGTATTGCTTTCAAACAGTGTATTACTTTTGATTTAATTATGAAATATTTCAGTTTTACCAGCAAGATTTTCATCAGATCGGGTTTTCTACAGGCGTCCATCAGTGCTTTATTTTAATCGCTGTAAAGATGTCGCCCATTTCTATGTGGTTGGCCTTGGTATTATGCCAGTGATTTTGCTCCTTGGATTTATCCATATTGTATATGGTAATTTGCTTGTTAACAATATTGAAATCTAATTAATTTTAATACAAATTCTCCTATAAATTATGCCATACTGTAGTATTGGGTTGCTGTGACCGAAATAATTGCAGGACCCTGTGAATTACAAGATTTGCCAACGGATGGATCCGCTGTTCATTACTGGCAGTTTGAAAGAACGAAACTGAAACAGTGGGCCGCAAAATATCTGTGCCCATCAGATATCGAGCAGTACGAACGTAATCTTGCATATTTTGAGAAAGCAAATATTTTAAGCAGATGGAGGTTTGTTTAATTTTCATTTTTTTTTCGGTCAATTGGTGAAGTATATATAACCAATATGAATTTACATAACTATTGTTGCTATTTCAGAAAAATCGAACAACGCGTGGAGCATTTACAAGGTGAACGTTGGGATTACAAAGCATGGTGGTATGAACCAGTTTCGGCCGCTTGGACTGATTACGGAAAATGGACTGCAGAAAGGATGAGACATCAACCTTCTGAATTTTAGGATAATTTGTACTTCAAAGAATTATAGATGTTAAGCTTTCGTCCCTCTTTTTCCTGATTTGTGTTCTTTGATAGATAATAAGGCGCTTAGCATTGTCCACTATTGTATTTTTGGATCCACTAAGTTCTTAATAAATTTTTTCTTCACTAAAAGTCATACTTTCCGTTAACTAAATTTTAGTGCTTGGACGAATCGTTCGGGAATAACTGCAATTATTGAAATTTGTGTTTATGCGGTCTTTGAATCCCCAGATTTCATCTTCCTAGACAAAAATTTTTTACAGTATCAAATTCAGTCTTACATTTCCTTAAGATCAACGACTTCGCCTTGGAATTCATCAGCCACATTCCAAGGCATAAATTTTTGAAAGATAGTAGAATTATTAGAATTCACGCTTCCCATAGGTATCAGTTTCGAATAACGGGATATTAGCACGTGGGCAATGTTTAATCTTTGCCGAAGCTCATTGTGATACATTGAGACTCCTTCTTCGTAAAGACCTGACGAACTGAGCTTGAATCATGAATTTCTCATTCAGATATTTGAAAACAAGAATATTTAATTCCCGGAATGTTTAATCAGTAACTCATGCAAAGACAACGTATGACGAACTCTAAAATCCACAAGTATGCATATTTCTACATGACAGCTCACTAAGAATTCAATTAAATAATCAATCCATATATAAACATGAGATTATTCAACAAATTACAGTAAATTAAGCGAAAATATACTGGAACAAAGGACAGTATCTAAATCCGAGTTCTAAATGGTAATAAGAGCAAGAAAGTAAGGTTTCGTGTCAATAACGGGTGATACAAGGAAATTCAGCAGTTATACTTTTATACACATTGTTACAAGTCTTAACAGTCTATGTCATCGGATTTTTGGGGAATGGGTGGAAAGTGAAAATGGTCTGAAAATCTTGGTTACCGAATTTCGAAAAATTTGGATGGAGTCTTTAGCTCTTGGTTTCATTCTCTACAAAAAACCCAGCAGCTTAGTGGAGAAAAATAACATTAAAATTTAGTATCAAACATATTTAGCCGTAATAAGACCTTTCATCATGTCAAAGGTGTTGCCATCCGGATGTACGACCATTACTTTTCCGCTTTGACGGCTTCGAACTTTTAAAAATCCATAATGGTCCAGTCCTCGTATTACAACCTTTTCATTAGTATCGGACAAAGTTACTTCTTCTCGGCTACAAATATCCAAAATTTAACTTAAAGTCCAAATTCAATTAAAGAGACAAGTTTTTCTGGGAATTCACTTTCAAATCTTGAATGCGAGTTAGAATGCAATTTAATTCTGAAATTTGAAAGTTCCACTCAAGAAGAATACTTATTGTTTAGTGTTTAATTATTTGCTCATTATTATTTATAATCACTAAAACGATTTAACACTCCAGAGGAAAATACGTCACGAAATTTCAGTAATTTTAAAACTGAAATTTTAATTAAAATCATAAATGTAATATTGGTTGGTATCGCATACCTGTGTAGCCAAAATCGATAGTAATCCTTCAAAAATGCACTCTCACCCTCATTCTCATAGAGATCAACATAATCTACAAAATGTGCAATATTAAAACATTTCATTCCAATGAGAACTTTTGAAATTCATGAAAATTCCTACATACAAGCATCGCGAAGCTAAAAAAGTTATGTTACCATATTTCATTTAAAATTCTTCGTGATAATGTAACTGGATATGGCTTAATATCATTTTTGAAACTTATAAAAAAGAAGGATTTGCGGTGCTCATCGTTTAACGAATTTTAATCTCTCCAATGCTAAGTCACTGATGAATCGTACTTCGTAGACTGATTACACTCATTCCTCCATAGTTTGGAGAATTGAATATTAGCTTATTCTTCTTAAGCTAATAGTCCTCCATATTATTCGAAAGTACGTCAGAAAAATATATTTAATTGAATTTCAATTACAAACAGTAACCCACATTGAAATTTGTTTAAAGTATTAGCAATATAGTCCTCTTGTCGTATCTTTAAATCCGGTGGTAAGAAATCATTAATGCAGGCAGTCGGTTTGTTGTTCGACAAATTCAACCCAGCACCTACAATTATAGAAATAAGGACGAAAAAAATCTTGCTGCTCTAACCAACTGTTCTTGCAATAAATAAAAAGAACAAAGTTATGTTTATATATGAATACGGATGCTTCAAACATCTTATTTCGTTCATTTATTTCATTTATACTATTAATTTGAATTGTATTATATAACACAAGAATACAGCAAGCTCCTGCCATAAAATCCAACCTTGTTGCTTTATCACAATGCGATAACACCAGCGACTAAGCATAGTTAAGACACTATGAATACTATTCGTAATAGTTTTGATCAAGAAAATCATCCCGCACGTTCAATTAAAAACTTACCAATTGTACAAACGGTTTTGTCATTAATTGTTGTGGCGTTCACAATTAGACCACCCATTTTACACGTTCGACCATAGTAAAGGTCATTTGGCCACTTAATTTTCAATGGGAAATTCTGCAACATATTTGACTAACATGACTGTATCCCTTTATCTTTCGGAATATTTCAATTATATATAATTTGAGAGTTAGATCTTCTTAAGCAAAATTCTGCAGTAGTTAGAAACAAAATGTAACAGATATAAAAAAGATCGTTTTCCAAGGATTACAGACGAAACATAGAAGGAAAAAAAACACAATTAGGGAAAAAGTTACAACAAAGTTTTTATAAATCATCTTCGATTGTAAAAACTTTTAGCAAGTTATATGCTTTGTCTACTATCATGGGTACTTAATATGAAAGAATACCAAATAATATGCTGTATGGTAACAACTTCATAAAATATCACAATTTTCATGTCTAAGAGATAGATAATCATTCCACGCCGACATTGGAAGACCAACATGCATAATAATTTGTTAATCAAATCTTTATATTCCTGTATAATAAGACTGTTCTCTAATATAACAATCAATCTGTAGGTAAAACGATCAGAATAGCGAAGATGGAAAAGCAATAATATAATTAAATTTTTTCTTTTGGACTTTCGGAATTTGTTATCTGCAGCGTACTAGGCCTCACAAAATGTCTCACTAACAGTGCATCATGTTATAACCAAACGGTATTAACGTGACACAATTTAGATACTATTTGAATGACGGGACTTGAAGCCCTAGCTACTACTGATTTTAAATTAATCTCTAACAAATAACACTAATTTTTCCTAAAATTACTTAAACAAGTTTGAAAGATTATCAAAAAGAACTGAAAGAACAGAAGTATGAATAAGAACAGAAACTATCTTGGATATCTTAGGTTTGAAAGATAAACAAAAATTCTTATCCATCAATCATTATCACTGATCGGCAAGGAGATAGAAAATAAATCTTTCTTCGATTTTTCGAAACTGAAAAAAGGATTTTCTGAAGTAAAAATATATCAAGTTCTATACCTCTAATTCCTTTCGAAGTGAGCAAATGCCACTGACAATTGCAACACAGAAAATATGTTGAATGATGCCAACATTATTACTAAGAGCCGATCCGGGCAACAACATATAATTAAATGTAAACATGGCACATCCAATTGGACTAAGCCATTGATTTCCTGCTCGACCTGGAAATAATATCATTATCGTTATAACTTAAAGCTAAATCTATATAACCATCAGATATATTAAATCAGAAACTTTCGAAGATTGTAGCCCGAACTTCAAATTACAAATAAAAATTAAGAATTTACAGAGTGATTTCACTTATCTATTCTCTGACACATGATACGACTACTGTTATAGATACTGCTGCTAAGACAATCAACAGCATTCAGGAATTTTATTTCCCATCAAATGTTTCTCTCAACGTTTCATTCTCTCCAAAACTCAAGTTACCTCTTCCTTTGGTTTGTTGTCGAGCAACGATCACAATTGGCTCTTCAGGCATTGCAAAGGCCAAACTAAAAATCTAGAATAATATTGAAGAACAAATATCACTCATTCGTGGATTGAATTATAAGTAAATTGAAAGATAATGCATTAATTAAATAAAAAATCTTATAGTAAACAGCTTGAGTTCGAAATTTTGGGATCATTTCGTATTTATCGGTTTCTTACAAAGTTTGTAATCTAGTAGATGACTGTCTCAAACATTGAATTTTATAATAAATAACTCAGACTTTATGATGCCGAGCTAAAATCCGAAACTTCGTAAAAAGGGAATAAATACGAAATGAAAAACAATTCACAAACACCAAATTGTCTAGTAAATAATTAAATTAGTAAGAAATAATCTGATTATTGGTAATATGAGTATTTTCAAGTATAATTTTAATATAAAGATCACTTTTCATAACCACAAAGCTTCGGACATTGGCCCAGAGTTAGGTAATAAGTAATTCAATAAGCTAATCTAACAATTCTAAAAGACAACAGAATATAAATTTAGTCCTATGTTAGAACGCTTACTAGTTGAAAAGAATCCACTTCGTAGAAAAACTGCATTTAAGAACTTAATAACTAAGTCTGAATTAGAAAGCGTTTGGAATTCCACAACTTAATATTGAAATTTAAAATACAGGCGTTTTAGTTAAAAGAAAAAATTCGACAATTTTACCCACCATTTTCCAATTTCCATTGTCGTCTCACACACTGGAATATAAAGTAAAGCTTTGCCAAGCTTCGGAGTTTTAAGCCTCCTGCAAATTCATCCTTGATTGGATTACGTGGTAAAAACACAAATCTTTGACTCTCAATAATTCAAAAAAAGGTTACTTAAAATAAATTTCATCGTCAAAACCAGGCAAATGTTCTGCCCGTGTTCGGACTTCAACAGGAAGTAACTCGCTTGAAACCTCTGGTAATGGTCCATGTTTGCTGATCTGCTTGAGCAATAGTTTTGGCATGATGCCGAATGGTTCATTGAAATGCATACCCTGCAATAAATTATGAAACTCTGATTTCAATTTTCTTTGATTGCTAAACATTTTTAGAGTTTGGCTATAAGATCAATCAATCACTTAATATCTCAAAAAAAAAAAGATTATGCTGCGAAGTCCACAAACAGCAATACAACGAGCTTAGCCAAATATTAATTTAATGTATCAATGTTACAAGCCCCAATTGTTTATTTAATAAATCAATTAATTAATTGTGAGACAACTTATTTTTTACAACAAATATTTCACGAACTGAATCATTCTTTCGCCATCAAGAATTTGTCTAATTTCCTAACTAAGTTAGAACAAGCAATTTCTCAAGCACAAGATAACTCACCTCCATATCCCACGGCATTCGATCATACTCACAAATAAAATATCCTGGTGTGAGGGATGGTATCGTTAAATTCGTAGTGATTTTTATAGAAAGACGTGAAAGAGCATCAGCAATTAGCGTTGAACCGGACTGAAGTAATTGTTCGCTTGTCGCATCACTAAACAGGGCACTCGCACGTTGCGCTGCATTCTCCATATATAATAAAAACGGACTGTCTAAAATTGAGCTAAAAGAAATTTTAAATATTAAAAAAAATAGTAACAAATTATGCCTATTGTAAAATAACAACAAAATCCAATAAAAGGAAAAAGAAAAGAATGACTTTGAGAAAAAACCTTCAGTTTTATTTAACACAACGGAATATTTGTAACCACCGAAAAGATCTTTTGCATGAAAAGTCTGGTTTACCTGCAAAATCTCCAATTTTCATATTTCGATATTATTAGGATAGTGCAAAAGTAATTTCGTCTTTTTATTTATTGAACTTTGGTCGTATTACAATACATCTCAAGAAATTTTGCTACATTCTATACTCTGCTCATTTAATGCTCATAAAATTTTTGCTATATTTTGTATCATTTTTTTTTAAATGTTCTGAAACATATTGCTTATTTTATGAAAAAAAACTTGTGTTTAAAAAGCAGAAAAAACGGAGCAACTCACAATATCAGCAATGTACAGTACAATGGTGATGAGTTAAAAAGTGGTCCAACGGTTTAGTGACAGGCTTAGTGTCATCTAAAGTTAACAATTATCAATCGAGAGCCCTCGAAGGTGATCCTTATTGAAATGTACGAGAGTATTTGAAATCAATTAAGAAGGTGAAAAGCTCATCAAATAAGTATCTCGTAAGGTGATGATAATCAAAAGTTACTGTTATGAAATGTATCGTCGCCTATTTCTAGCACACCGAAGCAACACCGAAGCACTTATTCATAGGATAATGACATGGACAAAAAGTGGACTGTTTACAATCGGCAATGACCATCTTAGACGAGGAAGTACTCTAAGGCCCAAAACTGACATGGTCCGTGTTATTACTATACCTTTGTATGGTATCGAACAATGCTCAAAAAATTGATAAAACGAACAAATCTACAACATCTCCAACCGACATTGGGCAATATAAAGGTCTAACTTATTTCTCAGCGATAGCGCTTAATCAAAAGTCGAAGACTTCAAAAATCGAAGGAATTGGATCGCAAAGGTTTGCCCTGCGTCACATACTCATTTAGCTTATGCTTCCAATTTCAATTAAAAGATGTGCCTGTGTTAAGTTATAACGAATTTATATGTGTGTATATTCATATATGTACGTGCATTGAAACTCATTTAAATTAAAATACAAGTTCTTTGTTAAAAATATTAATATTTTTCAAAATAATATTACGGAAATAACATTATAAACTATTTCCATTATCATCGGAAGTTAAATGAAAATATACATGTCCAGATTATAACCGAGAAATATTATTTGAAAAAAATTCATAAAAAATATGAGTCATACTCTGAACTTCATACCTTTTTCTCCTTATGTAGCGTTTTTAAAGTTTTCTTTAAGAAATGTTCAAAGTCCTTTCCGAGTTTCTTCGACTGTCTTTCACCAAATGCCATCTTCAGCAACTTGGTAGTCTTTTTTGAATTATCACAGGCCGATAAACTTGCCAAAAGCTTATTTTGACACAGGAAAAGAATTTTGCCTGACTGAAAGCAGAAATTCATCTATTTCGCCATTCGTTTTCTCAAATAATATAAGCGAACTTAAGCAGAACGTAGCCCTCTACGAATAACATGGAAATTAAAGTTTTAGAAACCGCTGCTCCGGGATAAAGGCTGCTCAAACACAGAATGAAAAATGGTTGACGCCTCGAGAGATATTAATGTCTTAATCACATTCGAAATAATGCTCTCAAAATCAAACTTATTGATTATTGAAAAAGGGAAAAGAGCAAAAACAAAAAAATTGTGACTTATCTTGTCCCCAACTTCCAAATAAGAATAGTCTTTTTCAATAATTTTTTAATAATAGTTCGTTTCCTCGAATTTCCAGCCCGTCATACGGTTAATAGCTTTTCCGCTCTTGTAAATATTATAAAGGATCAAACAAAGCTTTGAAATTCAATAAAGATTTAAAATACTCAAAAATATCCTACATTACTGAAATACTGCTGAAGTCGAATCCAACATTTATCATCCAGATGCGACGTATCAGCTACAATCAAGCATGCTGTACCTTGTCCTATCCATGGATGCTTGCAGAAAGCTTTATACGACAGATGGAACACGGTGTAAGTATCAGATGGAATTATCGTACTAAGAGTTTCTAAGATACGATTGAACAAATCATCACTATTACCAGTAAATACCAATATCTGCAAAGGAAAAAGAACTTAAACAAATATTTTCTATGTTATAGGATTCTGAAAATGTTCATAAAGATCTTTTATAATCGGATTTTTGGATGAAAAATTCTGTTTTTAAATAAATAGACAATAATTAATGCAAGTACCCGAATCCTGCACAAATCTCTCTTAAGTATACATCAAAGAATAGTGGAATGGAAAGATTTCAAAGCTAAATCGAGTAAATTTCCTGATTCAACATGAAATTTGATATTCAAAGAATCCTTCAAGCAGCATATTTTCTTGCAAAATGGCATTGAAAATTCACCACTAAAGGCTTCGCAACAACTTTTTCGCTGTCTGTCGTCGTGTGCAAATGAGAACCACTAAAAATTCGAAACATTTCTTTACCCAACAATTTTGGTTGCTCTTCCGAGCTCTGGAATAACAGCGCTGATGGAATTAACATAGTGGAAGTAGGAGAGGTATTACAATAGTCTGAAAGTGAGAAAATCAGTTCGGGAATATTATAATATAAAGAAAAGCACCAATTTTGGGGATTAAGCTTAAATCAAGCACTGTAAGTCGACATTAAATTCCTCGAAAATTGAAAACATTAGTCCTGATAAGTTAAAATAAATTAACAAAGGAAAGTTAACGTCAAATTGATAAGTCAGAAATATATGTCTCTTACAATAGTTTTACACCTTGAAACCCAAGAAACGAGACTTTCAACCTTAACCCAAATCATTTGTTTAGAATTTTTATTCATTTCGCAATTTTTCACACCACAAAAAAAGCAAATGGTGCCACTTCGAGAGTGGCTAACACTTGATCAATATAGCAACAACAGATCCCTCCCATCCTCTTCTCCATCATCTATGGTGAGGTTCATAAATCATTTTATCCAATATCGACAAAATTGGCTGCCTCCAAAAACAATACAATTTTAGACTTATCACTGGTCATACCATCAAAGTTGATATTCATGTATTGTAAAAGCCTATTATATCAGCACCAATTTTGTCGGCATTGAGTAAAGAATTTTGCGTTTATCACTAATAAGAAATTGTCACAAACACCCATCTTGAAAAGTGCAAAGGAAAGTGTGCATAAAACGGCAAATTACAATGATGATATCTTTGCTTACCTGCTGCTGATAGCATTTTACAAGTATCCTAAAATTCATATCATGTTACGGTATACAAGAAAATAAGTAACATCAGATGTGAGCAATATATATTTTTTATAAGAGAAATTTATTACTGATATTTTTTAGTTCCAATCAGGTCAATTTCAGTCTAAATTGACCCCATAGAATTACCTTGGTGATCGAATTTGATAATTGTGATTCTTTCTTCTCGGAAGTCACTGAATTTATAATTCCTCTTGAAAACCGATTTTGTTGCGCACTGTCTGCAAGTCCAAAATTTGGAACGCTTTGACCTTCAAGCTTCTTAACAACTGATTTTTGATCTGATTGAATCGAAATTAGGCTAGGCTCTGTCTTAGCTTGGTTTGAGCGATCATTGACTTGACCTGAAGTGGCCCAATCCCCGCTCGACTGGAGTTGAATGTAATTTATTTCATTCTGGATTAAACTGTGCTTGATCGAAGGATGACTCGCTTCGTTTGAGATTTTATGAGCGACGATATGTTTTTTGATATCATTTATATTGTCTTTCGCAAGTTCTATTGATGTATTAACATCACCATTGTGTACCGAATCCATGAAAAATTGATTATTGATCTCTTTCGGAACGATTTCTGTTGAGGTTCTTGAAAGTATATTGCTCACATGACCATCCATTTTTGGCAATTCTCTTTTTTGTTTGCTTAATGAATTTATAAAAGAATGCATGATGTGTTTTTCCACACGAGAAAATCTCGTTTTCTGGCCAAGTTGTTGCCTTTTTGAACGACTGAAAATTAATAGCTATTTTAATGAAAATAATGTTGAAATTCATTATTAATACACCCAAAGTTTAATCGCCTCCATTAAAACACTAAAAAATCTTTAAAATTAAGAGTATATATATATATATATATATACACAAACATACACACACGCGCATTCACACACAAATGTGACACTTGTTTTAAATGATGCCATTAAGTGGAAAAAAGTGCTATTTACAATTAACAAATGATGAAGAAGGAAAGCATAAAAAAGAAAAAGGATGTAAAAAGTTTAAAATAAGTTAGCAACTGCCAAATCTTAGAAGTCTTCAAAACAAAATTTTAAGATGACTTAAAAATCTTCTTAATCTACAAATTTCCAAAATTCTCATCAACAGAAAAAATTTTTTCCAAGGTAAAGGCAAGAATTTTTCAATTTATAAAACGTTTCATGAACTTTTTAAAAAAAAGATTAAAAATGGAGTGAAAAAGCAGCGAAAAAAGAAAAAGCTTGAGAGACAATGAAATCGATAGGAATGCGAAAGAACAATCGGAACGATTTTTTCCGATCATTCTTGCTATGATTTTGGTACAAGACAGCCATTTTCATCTATCCAACTAGTACTTCACGCATCCTCCCAATTTACTGTTAACATGATGCGCTTCCACAGCAATGTAGTCGTAAATATTCGACAGAAATATAAGTTATCTAGAAACAAAAAAAAGTGTGCTAAATTTTCAATAGATTCCAGACATGTCCTTATGTCAAGGCCTCACCAACGTCATGAACCTATAATCAGAGTAAACAAATAATTTAATCTTCGTGATAATATGTAAAGATACTTATGAAATGTCATCTTCCAATTTCGATAAGGAAATCTGTTAAGGAGACACCTCTCTCTCTCATACATACATACAACACGGTAACACATGAAGCTTTTCACATAATCCACACAGCAAATGGAAATCAATGTTTCGGTTAAATCAAACTTAAACAATAACCTTGACAACCATTTGCTCATTTTATTTTGCTCTTTAAGATATCGGACATAAAATGGAGCAGCTTCACTGAATACTGTTTGGACTCGTTCGAGAGAAACGGATGATATCCTTGATCGATATGAATTCGGTTTCGTGATATATTCAAAACAGCCATTGTTCGGAACATCAACTGATAGCCTTTAAAATTAATATATTAAAAGTCAAATAGAGTTACCGATTTCAATGTTAGTTTTTTAAGCTTAGTTTGCAAAAAATAAGCTTCGAAATAACTATTAAAAAATGAACTAATTGATTAATCCTAACTCAATAAGTAAACAAAAATTTTTATATAGGTGAATGGTAATCAAATAAATATATATTTAAATACATAAGTTAATGTATTCAAACTATTTAGAATTGTGCTAAGAATATAGGCAGATTTTTAGTAAAGATAACTTCCTGATCTAATAAGGTTTACTGTTCTGGTTTGTTGATGGAACAGTTAATGAATCGCTGAATTTAATTTTACAAACATTTCATTTTTACTAATTTTTTGTAACCAGCACGAGAATACGAAAATTTAATTGGCATAATAAGTTATATATCACATCATACATGATATTTCTCATAAAAACATGAAAAAGATTACTGAAAAGAAGGTAGTACAGGAAATTCCAGTCGATGATTGTGATGTAAGGCTGAATCATTGTTATTACACAGTGATAAGGCTGAGGAATAGTGGAAATTTCGGTAATCATCTTTATCCATGATATAGCTATGTTCTCGTTCATAAAGTAATTCCAATAACGAAAGTGGCTCCGGCGATAGACTGTTGGGTGGTGAATTCATGCCCCATTCACCACCAAAAAATTGACCATTGTTTATTACAATGATAATATTCATTTTATCCCTTTTCTTTTCTTTTATTATTATAATTTTTGCTTGAATTTGTGCTAGACATGAGCACAGCCAATTATTCCGCTATCGCATACACCTTCATCATCATTACGCGATTTACAGAGAATTCACGCCCTTTTTCCATCTGTATATAAGCCTACCGTTTGTTACACAATTTGTTCAGATGCTACTTGGCTGATTAATAAATACTTTTCCTCCTTACCTACCTCACTTCAATATCGGAAATTCCGCCCACTATTACAAATTAAATGAAAATTTGGAATATTGAAAACACTAAACTCTGTAATAAATAAACTAATTGCATTGTAGATATCAAGGCATCATACCATCTTCTTGTGCATTAGTTTTTAGATAAAAAGATAAAAACCTCCAAAATCCTGCTACATAAGTTGATAATAATGGAACTTACAACTTAGAGCAGGTGATACACTCCTCTGCAAACTGTTGCTATCACCCAGTTGAATGAAAAATTTTTCTGGCAATGTTATCACTGTAAAATATTTCTTTCAAAATAGCTATCAAAAAGTTAATTTTTCGTTTGAATATTTGCACATTCCATTTGCCAAATTATCATCGTTAATTTCTAACTAAAAAGAAAATAAACCCTTCTTAAATGACAAATCTATAAAAAAAGATCCCAAAAAGTTCCACATCTGTTCAATAATTCTGCAAAATGCTAGAGAAAAAAATCGTTTATCTACATAGCTGTGTGTATGAAACATAGCCATTGGAAAATCGCAACTACAGCAAAAATTATGATACTGTATTTACCATTTTTTTTAAAATAAACTTCACGTCACTGCTTTGAATAAACAAATGACGAGTGCAAATTAGAAAAAAATCTAACTTCCACTAACCTTTCATCATTTTAACTACTGCTTTGCCATCAATATCAAATAATGCATTCTGCGACCATGCAAAAGCAATATCATAAAAATCATACAATGTACATTCATAAAGGATTTCCCATGGATGCCCTCGTCGATGAGCGATTTTATTGCATAAATTACTAACCTAATATATAGATATATAAAAAGAAGGAATAAGAAAACTGAAACTTTTAAATCTAATTTTAAACGAAATAAATATCACAAAATCCTCATTTCCCATCTCTTCACAACAGCACTAGTTATAATTTCAATAACACCTTTCTCCTTTTTTCTTTTCCTTCCTTTCCACTTTTTGTTATCGCCCCATACTAAATTCGGCTCTTCTGCATTATTCTAGCAACACATATATTATGTGAAACAGATATGTTAAACAGGTAAACTTACCAAAACTGGTGATAAGCCGGAAGAACAAATGGTATTACTGCCTGCGTTCGATTGTTCACCAATGACATTTAATGAATCAGTAAGACTAATACAACTCGACGTTTCCTTATATTCGTCAGATTTCTTATCCAAAAAAGCAATAAAATGAATACGTGGAAGAGAACCATGGAATGGTGGCATAAATATATTCCAGTCCATAATATCCAATGGTGTCTAAAGTAAAGATAAAAGTTGGAGACAAATTTTGAAAATTGAAAACAATATTCCAGATTTTTTTTATTTTTTCGAAAAAGATGGAATGCCGGACAAAAACTTTCGGATTTTGAAGTAAGTTTTATTGTTATCAAATTTACTTCGATCATTTTTGGAATGTTTTACGTTAATTTTTAATTTCGAAGGAAATACCAAAATAATATCGAACGATTTCACTGAAACATGAAGATTTAATGATAAAAATGGAAAATTTTAAATTTCGCAGTATTAAATTTATTCAAGCAGTTTATTTTGGATAAAATACAGATAATGCAAATATTGCAGTTCAGTAATGTTAAAGGCATGAAATACTTCCGGAAAAAAAATCAAAAAAACATTCCCGTAGCTCAACTGGTCACGATTAGCGAAACGCATAATGTCAGGCTCACTCACATCATTATCAAAAAGCTGTGTACAAAATGGTCAGACAATTTTTCTTAACAATTCTAGCAATGAAATATCGCCATCTATCAAATTTTTGATTTCAACTCCAATTCAATCCTATTTGGCTTTTGCGATCTAAATCTTTATGGTTTTCCTGAGAAAATTTTATACAGCTTCCCTCGTAATAAAAAAAGCTTACAGCATCTAACTGAACCACAAATTCCATTTCCTCGGTGCGATAAATTGGTCTTGTGATGAGTTCACTTGGAAGACATGGTTCACTGTTTGTCTTTCTTAGTGTGTCCAGAGTACCATTTAATCTTTCATAACTAAAATACTGCATAAGTTGATTAAGTTCGGAGCACAATAATTTTTGTTAAAATATATAAAAAATAAAGTGATCAGTGCTGTGGATTTTATGTTTTTGGTTTGGCAACAATCGAATTGCAGTAAAGGCTTAATTTATTTGATGAAGAGGTTTATTTCTTGATTATAACACAATTATCAGCGGTGTAGTAACTGAGTGCTTAGCCCTCTTGGCTAAAGATCCACGAAGATAGTTAATATTGCTTATTAAGGAGTGGTTCCGAAGAATTTGAGAGTTTGCGAATAGCAATACTGTCTTCTCAAGCAGTAGATAACTCTTGTACCGTTCATTTCGGATTGGACGGTGCTCGACGAGTGTTGTTTATATTAAATTAGAGAAATGGTGATTTTGTGAACTAAACTGACGGTACATAGAGACTAAAAGTTTATTTGATAAAGGAAAACTGATAGCAAACAAAGACTCGTCGGAGCATATAATCCAATGGTAAGCCAGGACCATCTAGTCCTTTGAAGTTGATGCCGATGGTAAAAGGAAGTTAATGATTTATAATAGAATCGTTAATTGGGAAATTACACAAAGCATATCATAATGTTACATCTAGAATATTGAGACAAATGTTTTCTGCAGCATAAAATTAAACAGTAGGAGGAAATTTAATAAGTAATTTTACATTGTAATGTTATTTCGGATTTCCGACAGTTGGTCTATGAATAGCTGTTTTTGCCTTTTGAGAACTAATTTAATAAAGCTTTTGGCTACTTACGGAACTGACGGAGTAATTAAGCAAGTAAGTGATTGAGAAATCAAGAAAAATTAATTGCAAAAAAAACTTCGTTAACATATCAAGAGAATAAATAAAAACGTGAAAATTAAAAACGCTGTAAATGAAGAAAAAAAATAATAAAAGTCATAGAAATAAATATTTAAAAAGTACTTATGGAACTAAATAAGTAAGAAATGAATGGCAAGAAAAATATCCATCCAAATAGATTAAATTGATACAGAATTGTGAAGTAAACTTAAACTTTTATAATCAAATATTATGTAAAATAATGAGATATGACTCACCTCTTCTTATTCCTTGAAAAGCAAGAAAAACAAGGAATTTTCCGACATAGAAGCACTGAGTTATGCGAAAGGTTCCAAACGAAATATTCCGATAATATTGACACCAGCCGCTGACGCTGTGCAAACTGCACTGCAGATAACACAAGCGACCATACGAAAAATATCATCAGTATCCTGAAAACAGCACTGTGATCTTCAAAACAAAAGTATCATGTGATGTGATAGTAATCCCTCTCATGATATCTCAAAAGCAGTAGCTCTATAACAGTACAAAAACAGTGTTTCCAAAAATAGTTCCACAATATCCTGAAAATATTAAAAAAGGACGCTTCAAGTTGTACAGACAAGTATATCAAGAGAAAAACAACATTTTATGCAAATTCATATATTTTAATTAAAAAAAATCGAAAGACCGCTAAATTCAATAACAAAAACAAGTATTTTAGAATAATGAATAATATGGGCAACCAAAGAATTTTTGATCATTTATCTGAAGAATGGTCGATTTTTATTCGAAAAATTATCCAAATATCCCTACAGTTTTTATGCCTTCTTATCACTAAATCATACTTTTATCATTACTTATTACTGAAAATGAAAAAGATTGACAAAAGCTTTCTCCGGAGCTTAGATGTGATCGCATATAACATTTCGTTATATGTCAAACTGAATATAATATTACTCCCTGACGACTATTCTAAGATTCCCAACAAACAGTTCAAAGATAAAAAAAGTACAGATTAAAAAAAATAGCACTTCATTGAATTCGTAAATATTAAACATTTACAATTAATTAATAAGCACCGGAATATACTGTTTCTATGGCAACATAATTTTGCAAATTTATTCATTTGATCTATTGTTTATTACAATTATTGCAACATTAACTTTCACTGTAAACTATAAAGGTTTTACTATAAACTTGCTTTTACTATAAAGCAACAATCAGATGGTGGATAAAACGAATTCTACACACTTTATATTTAGATGATTTAATGATGTACTAAAACTAAACGTTCAATTATCACTCATCAATCTGGTTAATTTACTGCTTAATTATAAAGCATTATTCAGTAGCGTGACTTGAAATATCGTTTGACTTAGTCATCTTCATATACTCATCTTATTCATATCATAAGCTTCTAGGACGAATGCATGCATTACGAATGAATGAATCGACGACTAATTAATTAGTTGAATGAATGAATTAATGTCTTACTTCCTTGCATAATTTCACTTTAACAAGAATAGGTAACTGTCGCAGTCGTCATTGACCATCGAATTTCCTATTCAGAATACCAAACATCACCTCTGAAACGGATATAAATTCTTTTACAGATTAACTTGAAAAGTTAGAATGAATGGTGTTGAAATGAAAACAATCCTTCCTTCCCTAACTTCGCTTCTTCCATTTTCTAATTATGGATGAAAAATCTGCATAAAAAGAGTTCGAAAATTCGATTCTAATTAAAAATACTTGAATGATAAATAAGTGTTCAAATCAAAAGCAATGAATAGGTTAATTCCTAATATGCACGAAAATTTAATGGTAAATAAATGTTGTCAGTTTGAAGTCATTATTCAGCATAAGTATTGACGTAATTTTGAAGTGACAAAACGATAAGTTAGAGATGTTCTTGATATATATTTTTCTGAAAATAGATTTACACAATGCCTTGCTTTCAATTGGAAGTTACTGTCATTAACGTAGGCAATATGCCAATTATGGAAGCTGTCTCTCATCACAGTTTCATCATTCATATGTCACCTATAAATGTTTTGATGTTGCTGCTATGAATAGAAGACGAGAATACATTTCATAACGACTTTTTTGATTATCATCACCTTACGAGACACGTATTTGATAAGCTTTTGACCTTCTTAACTGATTTCAAATATCGAAGGACTGTAGTATAGCTGATGTTTTTTGACATTTTCCGGTAAAGTTTCAAAAGGATCACATTCGACGATTCTTGATTAGTAATTGTCAACTTTAGATGATACTAAATCGATCATTTTTTAAATCATCATTATACTATACATTGCTGATATTTTAAGTTGCCTACGCTTTTTTCTGTTTTTTAAACAAAAGTTTCGTTTTCGTCATAAAATAAACAGTAAGCTGTCAAAGCATTAAAAAAAATGATGCATGATATAGCAAAAATTTTATGAGCATTAAATAAGAAGTAATATAATGCAGCAAAATTTTTTGAGATATGTTGTACTGATATAATGATGTGTTTCTTTGAGAACAATACACATACAACATAGAGTTAAGTGATGATTCTATAATACGAAAAAATATTTCTATCTTACATAATGTAATTTTATTAGCATAGAAGTTGAAGCTTATCGCTCTAATTTTATAACATAAATTATCTCATAGTTTCAAAGCGATGTCATAGGACGACAATAAAATGATATCAACCATAGAATTATATGGTTAAAGAAAAATTTGACGGTATAAATGAATTCAATTTAGAAGCGAAAAATTCAATTTATGCTATGCTATTTAACAATATAAATACTACAAATGCTCCTTTTTTTTTAAAGAAAAGTTAAATATAATTCTTCACTCGATTTAAAGAAATGTCCCGTAAAAAAAGCGTAGGATTTTAAATGATCAAAATTCAACAATCAAAAGAAACTTGAAAATCTTAACAAAACTAATATAAAGTATCTTTAGATAGTTGTTAAATATTACATAGCAATGATAATTAAAGAAAAAAATCCTATTATCTTGCTTGAATTCTTAAGTTAACATTAAAGAAATTCCACATGAAATGTCAATTTGATTCAGTATAAGATTTAATTAATCTCAAAAAAGAAAGGAGATTTCAAACTTTTATGAATGATATAATTGTTAGTTGGAAAAATGAAACAAAATCAAATTAAGCCTCTTTTTAAGAGTATTTAGGCTTTTTTGAAGCTCATACAAAGAGCAGAGGAAAAGGGAAGAGAAAATAAAGGAATAGAATTTAAATATGATCAATATTTCAATTTTTCCAAAAGAAGAAAACGATCTCTAACCACTAAAAAAAGGAACAAAGAAAGAGGATAAAGAATTAAGAAAACAAAAACCGAAGGATTTGAGTAAATTTTACTATCTCTTCAAATTTTTAACGAAATTTATCAAATATGAAAGACTAGTAGTAATCATTAAAATTCCAACGGATAATAATCATTTTAGTGACTCGATTAAATGTGTATCCAACATTTTATAATTATGCTTACGCTATGCAACTTCATATAAATAATTTCAAAGAATAAATAAAATTAATTTCAAGCAAAAAATCCCGCAATATTACAATCAGTTCATATTACAACGATCCATGCGAATGCTAATAACTAATTTTTGAAAGTAAAAAATCCAAAACCTTTCTTAAAAAATAAATATTTTTTGAAATTAAAATAACGACGACAAACGGCAATTCCAGGGATTGCTTGAAAATTTTACTACATTTTTCAAAACGATCCTTCTCTGCAGTGGAAATCGATTCCTTTTTTCATTTTCTTCTTAAAAATATGAATTTTTTACACTTCATGGAAGAAATCTTCTTCCTTCAACGAGTAGAAACAACTTCCTTTCTGTTACTTTTGAAGGCTCGTTTTTTACTCTTTTACATTTTTCATCTAATCATAGCCTCAATCTATCATTATTCCTCATTCATTTACCTTTTATAAAGACTAATGGCTTTTGTTTCAAGTGTGCCCCAAAGTTCAATTGGCTTTGAAATATATAAAGCACTTTTTTTCCACATTATTACGATATTTTCTCACAATAATCGTAAGTGATGAAGACACGATGGAAGATGGAAAAGAAGTCCATGACGGGCAATGCGGCAGGATGACACATGTGATAGACGAAAACGAAAACCTTATATATACAGAAACTAAGTATGTGGAGAAAAATACTGTAAGTTATAAATTAGTAGAGTCAATTACAACTGGAAAAATAAAAAGATATGCAATGCGTTGATTGAAATTTCCTTGCGTACCTTATCTACTTTCTGTTATTGTATGATGAAAGAAGAGAACCATAATTAAACAAAATGAAATCAATAATTATTGAAATGTACCTAAAAAAGAAATGACAACTAAAATCATTTCCAAAAACGAAAAATTAAAAATTATCGAAAAATCTTAAAAATTAATCATTCGAACCAATATGCTAATCCTCTCATTATTTTTGTTCTGCGGCAAATCAACTCTATTTGAAAATATTAATGATAAAAAATCCCGAAAACAATAATACTTTATAACCTGGAACCACTATTCTTGCTATGTTTCGCTAGGAATCTCTATGTTTCACTTCCTTTATCTAAATTATTTATACCTTCGTTTCCATCTTTATTACAGAATACGTAAAAACCTTTCCCAATAATTCTTATCACTTCGCTAAGATAAATTACTATAGAACAGGAAAACGGAGTGAAAAAGTTGATATAAGCAAGAAATTCATGTTCCATTGGTTCATAAAACCGTTGTTAATCTTTCGATGATGTCATCAAAATGCGTTTTACTGGACAATATAACTTAATAATTCAACGCAAAAAGTAAAAAAACCATTATAAATGAACCAACAAGAAGAAATTTAAAAAAAATGAATTTTAAAAAATCCGAGAAATTAGTGACTTTTTACACAAAATAGTAATCAACAATTTCTTTCTTTTTCCAATCAAAATTTAGCTTCATTCACATTTAAGTAATACCAATAAAGGAAAGATGCGGTTTCCTGATTATTTTCGCTTCAGATAAAGCACTATGGAACTCGCAAAGACGTGCAATCAAGAAGACCAAAATGTGAGGCATACAATTACTTCCTTAAAACAACAAAATATTCTTAGGCAAAAACTTTCATCATAGTCTTCCTTGATTTTTTTTTCTCTCTCTTCCTGCCTGATTCTGAAGAATCGACAAAGAATTTCACTTCCGACTGTTCTTCCACTTCTTTTTGGAAAAGTCTTAAAGCCGCCAGATTGAAACCACAAATATCCTGCAAATCAGTGGCTTAGATAAAACAAATTCTTGAGAAGTAATTTTTGTTTCAAACACTCATAAATAAATCGCTTCTCGACAATCACAATTATGAAAATTATGATCCAATAGTTACTTAAGAACTAAAAAAAATGTCACTATACGTTTTTTTTTAGATACATTACATGAATATATTCGTCCTTTAAAAATTGCCAAAAAGTAAGAAATTAATTAACCCGTAAATCATCCAACTCCCGCGGAACCTTCCGGCATAAATCATCGAATAGAGTTATCAAAGCAGTCTGTGTTATGAGATGATTGTGGTGAATTCTGGAAAATAAAAAATGCGAATAAAATATTGCAAGAAATTTGCAAAAATAAATGCGCCAAACATTTTAAGAAATGCTCAACTGCCAATTTTGTAAAAGAAATATAAACTCTATATTCGGAAACTTAAAAATTATAACAGCCCAATGTGCATTTTTATACGTAAATTTCTCAATCTTTCAACATATCTTGAAAATGATGTAAACATTTTTTTTAGGCCGAGATATGAAGCGAAAATATCACTGAGTCGTAATATCAAGTGAATTATTACAACGAAACTTGTTGTGAAGTTCAGGATAACAAGTGCAATATAGACCTCTCGCAATTATAACAACCGACCATAGGATCAAAGAATTTCTAACAAAAACTCACCGTTTCTAAGGCTTTTATTTAAGAGATTTAGTGAAGAGTTTTTGTGAAATTCACTTCTGTAAATTAACTGTGGCAGGTAAAAAATTAACAGGTAAAATGAACAAAAATAAATGAACGTGACAGATAAATCTATTTATAAAAATAAAAGAATAACAAACAAATAGTAAGATAAGTGGTCTTACCTTACAATAAAAACTAGCACACGTGATGCCAACTCTGCTTTATAATGTTTTCCAATACATACACCTAGTGCCCTGATAATATCAGGAATAAAACCGAATGGCACCATTAATAAACTTTTTTCCAAATGGCTAAAAAGAAAACATTGAAAAAATCTTCCTGTTTTTCAGTATTTCGGAAATCAAGAAAATGAAGTGAAATTAATTAACCTGGATGGTACTCGTTGAATCACATCAAGTACAAAGTGGTCAAGAGATGCACTTTGAAAGTATAGTAACAATGGGTGCTTTTCCCGCTGCAAAAATAATAAACATGTCAAAAAATCACTTTCTCCCAGGCATATATTAAATGTAACTAGGAATTAGGTATAAAACAAAAAGTTAAAAAGAGTTACCTTTGGGTCTTCCAACATAGCTGTCCTCTCATTTCGCACGACATCTAGCGCTTCAATAATATCTTCAGCCTAAAAACATCCAGCTTCGCAAAAAGAGGTGCTAGTGAAACATAAGATATTCTTCTTAGAAAATAAAAATAAAAATGGATTTGTTCACATAAAATTCAAGGCAAATATTTTACGCAATAGAAAAAAACTAATGTACTATAGCAAAGTTAATTCTCGAAAATTTTATGAAAAGTATGATAGAATATTATATATTGCCGTCGAAAATAAAATTTTTATGGCGGAGTAAACATTGATTGAATTCGGCAGAATAAGAAGGATCGATTAAAGTTTAGATGTTAAATAGTAATAATAGTGATGTTTAAGTGTCAATTATTAATTCCTAATTACATTTTTCTACGACCTATTTAACTTAATGTCCTTTTGTATTCAAATGCAAATACATAAATGGCAAACAGCATGGATACGTGATAATTTAATAAAATTAACCGATTTAATGCTTGAGATACTTTTTTGGACTGCTATTTCGGCTTCATTAATTTTTTCTTCCCCAGGTACAATATCATTCAACTGAATAAGACGTTTTTCATATTCCTTCTCTCGCTCCATTGCTTTCTCTTCTTGAAGAACAATGATTTCTTCTGTCAACTGCCACAATCGGATTGATTTATCGTGCGATGAGGAAATCTGATAGAATACTTCACAACTCAAAATTTAAATTCCAGATCATTAATATTTCTCAAACGAAATTTTTAAAAGATTCTTTAATTCGAAATTTAGAATTTTAATTTTGATCTCTCTGTCTGCATTTAAGAACTTACAACACATTTTCCATTACTAGTTTGTGCAAGAGCTCGAATTTCGGCCGAATGCAGATTTAAAACCTGAATCTGTTCAAACTTTACCGCATCCCACTGCTTGATCAAACCGTCTTTACCAGCAGACCACAATAGATGTTCTTTGGGTGAAAATAAAACGCAAGTCACACTGAAAATTATTCAAAGTAACTCCAATCAAAACAAGTTCAAGCAGATTAAAGATCTAAACACTCGTGACTCAAGTCAAGAGAGTCGTTGTATGTATTCAGATGCATAATAAACTTTGAAAATGATTGAGATTCGAGGAATTCTCTTTTAAATTTCAGAAAAAGTTGGAGAAAAAAGGAAGACGAGCAAAACAAACATGTCATCATGCGCATGAAAGGACTTGTGGCAATCTCCAAAATCTATTCCCCATATCTTGACGCTTTTATCGGCTGAACCAGTAGCAACTAATTTGCTATCCTAAAACGAGTAGATCTACAAAGTCAGCAAACTTTCAAGAACTCTTCTTATTTTTAAGGTAATTGCATCAACAAAATAATTACAAAATGTAAGAGGCTGCGAACCTGAAATGTGCCTCAGCGCAGCAAAGATCTCAGATTAATAGTACCACAGTTTTAATTTCCCTTTTCAATTTAGGGAATATAAAAAAATTCTACATTATAAGTAATTTTGAAGCATAAATTTTTTGCAGAAACATACATGTGAAATATGAATAGCTGTAACAGGAAGTGCATGCCCATAAAGTGAAACAAAAAATTTGAACGTATCAATGAAATGAACGCAAGCCGTATTGTCCAGAAGCCCCACAGCAAGAAAACGTGAATCATTGCTAGCAGTAACGCACAACGCTTCATCTGGTACTTCCAATACCCGGCAAGATCTTACTGATAGACGTTTTCTGAAGATTTTAATTATATTTTAGCAAAATCCAGAAGGTCAAGTTGCGATATTTTTCTAGGATGATGAAAAAAGAAAAGAAACTATAATCTCATTGATATAAATATGGTCATATGCTAAATATTTCTAGGTCTTTCTTATATTTTCCTTAAAAAAGTGATAAATAATATCCAAAAAATATCGCACCTCGTCCCTTCATTCACTAATTCGTAATTCCAGTATTGAACCGTCTTGTCATTACCGCAGGAGATAAAGCCCTTCTAAAATTAGAAAAAAATTTAGAATATATAATAAGCTCTACAACGATTTAATCATCTGAAATTTTACATTTAAGCGAACTTCATAACTTTGAAATTATAAATCAATCAAAGTCTTATACCTTATCAGGTGTTGAAATAAGCTGCCAAATAGCCCCACTGTGAGCTTTTTTAACCATTTCAAGCATTTCATGAGTTGCCAATTCAAACAGAAATATGTTGCCTTCCTAAAAATATTTGATTTTGATTTTGATTTTCTTCACAATATTAACAGAGTTTTAGCTCAAAGACGGATAAAAACAATTTCAACTTACTGAACGTAAACTAACCTTTGTCGCTAAAATAACATGTTTATCGCCTGTAACAAACAATGACGCGGTGATATCGACCATTTGCTCATCCTCTAACGTGTGTGAAATCTATAAACAACAGAAGAGTAAAATTGCACTTAGTTTCGTCAAATTTGCACAATATTTCGAGAATTTTCAAATTTAAACTGGAAAAACCTCAATTTGTTTAAAGATTTCGAAAACTAGAAAATAAAATTTCCACCTTAAGACTATGCAAGTTCCATACGATAGCTGATTCTGCGCTCCCTGATACAAAGCCGAATCCACTTTCTGCAACTGCAAGACATCGAACATCCGTACGATGACCTAACTAAACTGTAAAAATAATTGCCGTGAAAAAAAATTAAACCAAAATCCTGAAAGTTATGAGAATAATAAATGACGAATTGCTGCAGTCGACTCAACTAACCCGACTCAAGTCAGCCAAATCAGCAAATTGCACTTCATTTGATTTGAAATCAATCAAGACTGCTTCAGACAGCACTGTATTCGTTGCGTAGAGCACATATAACTGAAGTAAAAAGGAATTAAATTAACTAGTTCTACAAAACATTAGTCCTAACATTACAAAAAAGTAAGCAACTATTATAAGCGGTATGCCGGTGGTTAAGACGGAGTTAAAACTGAAGCAAAAAGTTAGCTCAAGAAAGAAGACATAAGACATGTACAGTTGTAATAACACTGCCCACTTCGGACTCAAAGTTAAGAAGAGGTCTTACTAATCATTTGATATTTTGGTTCTCTAATACAGATACTGCTTATATAGCAGTGGAACTTTTTTGACCAAAACTAAGTTGTAGATTCGAAATTTTTCATTTTCGTGAACTTATTATACACGCTGAAGTGCTTATTTAAGTAACCGCGCGTAAATAAGCATTTTCCAATAATAAAAACACAACAAACTTGATATTGACGTACGTCACCTCCGCAGTGTTTCGCACCTGAGCTAAAATCAACCCACTTCACTTTTCCTTTCGGTTTGAATTCACCTATCCGTGAGATCAAAATAGTGACATCTTTTACGACATCTGTTTCAGAAATCGTTTCTGCGGCATCACTTCCAATCGATAACCTGTTACTTTTATTCATATAAACTTCTGATACTATCAATAATTGTATAAATCAAGAGAAAGATCCCAAAATATCAAGTAGAAATACTTTTCAACTTACTTTTTGTGAGCCTTCCGAAGCTTCTTCGTTAGGCGTTTTTGTGACTCATAATCATCATAAATCCGGAAAATGTCAATGCAGTGTAATGAACCCTGAACAACTTCCTCACACGATCAAAAAAATTTTTTGAAATGTTGCTGCTATTAAATTAGAAACTGGAAAGGATAAAATTTTTCCACAAATAAATAAATTTTCGCAGATATCAATTAAAAGAAAAGTGGCATTTAAATTCATACTTTTCTGGTTAGAGCACTTCTACCCCTTACCCCCCAATTCTTTTTAGGCTACAGCTAATGCCTACTGGGCAGCACTCATTTGTCCGAAGATAAAAAATCTCTATCAATATTTACAGACCACACATATCCTTCTTCCTTTCAAATTGCCCTAATTAAAAAGGATTAGTTCAGTATAACTTCAATAAAGAAAGTCAACTGTACCTACCACACATGCAACAACTTTTTCATCCCGGCTAACGGCAAGCTGAAGAGTGCGTCCTTTAGAGCGTCTCAAAATATGTCCCCTTTTCACACAGCGCATAATGTTCTGAAAGAACAAAATATTCATAAAATAAAAAGAAATAATTTTTCTATTGTAGAAAATCTCCGAAATTTCTCAAAAAATCAAAGTACTTGTCATTAGTATTAGTCTCTGTTTGAAAGTTTCCCCATTTTAAATCTTTAAAACACTCACATTTGCCTGTGCATATTCACTAAATTCAACAGAGTTTTCACTGGCTTTCAATTTCTTCGTAGATTCACCGTCTTGATCATCCAGCTCCTCTTTTTCGAACCAGTGAAGATCAAAGACTCGTAGTTCCAACTCTGCTGATCCAACCAGTAAGAAAGTATCGCTTTTGAGCAGTGAAAATGTATAAACCTACGTGATACATCAATCATAATTTTATCCTATCAATCAGTCGTTTTCGCTTTCCGTTCAAATTTAATAAATATTTTTAGAGACAAAGAAAAAAGATGAAATAAACAGAAAGAAGGCGAAGTTTAATTATTAAAAGTAGTACCTCAGAATGGCAATCTGTTATAGTGAAGAAACAACTTTTCGAATCTAAGCTCCAAAACTTCACATACGTATCTTTCGAACTAAAAAATATGAATGTAGAAAAAATTGCAACTTCGGGTGGTTCTCAACACTTACTTTTGAATATTTCAGAAAACAACGTTCTTGGAACATTCTGTAAAGAGGTGGTATAAAACAAAACAAAAAAACACCTGCTAATAAGAAATCGTCCATTTAATGTAAACTGTAAGTGTGTCACCGAATTTTTATGTCCGTTCAAACGGAATAAACCTGATTCATTTACGATATCCCAAACTACCACTGCTGAATCCTATAATTACAAGACAGTGTATTGAAATAAATAAACAATATAAGGGATTTGAAATTTTCTGAAATACTGTTCCCCAAGTGCTTCATTTGCAAATAAAAAATTATAGAATGTGCTTCAAAAATGTTGAAATACAGTGATTGGAAGTTCAATATTTGAAATCCAGAATTTAAGTTAGTATTAAAAAGTTCAAATTCAATTTCGTATTATTGGAAAAAACTTGAAATCTAGTAGATATTCGGAATGAATCAGTGAATCAAATGATCAATGTGTCACATGTATATAAAACTCCAGAACGGTATTATAATGGTTCAAGAATCTTCAGAAATTTAAAAATTCAAACGAAACCTTTCCGCCCGTTGCTAGTGTCAGACCATCCTTACTAAATGCAATACAGTTAACACCTGTTCGGTGTCCAGCAAATGTGACATACATCAATCGATCTAAATTTTGGAAAGTGGTTCAGATTTGAAACATTTTTTCTACTGAAACTATGACTGTATAGGAAAAAGAAGCACAAAGAGATGGAAAAGGCTTATTCAGGAGATTAATTAGCTACATAAACCCTTATTTTTGCTGCTAACGTTAGTATCACGTCAAAATAAGTGATTTCAAACCATCGGCTTTCCGATCATACAACCGAACTATTCCATCCACATATCCAACAGCAAGGAACCGTCGATTCCCACTGAATTTAATAGTTGAAACGCACTTGTCCGACCCTCTAATTTCATCAATCTAAAACAGAAATTCCTGAATCGGTCTTTTGCAAACTTCAAATCCAATATATAGCGTGAAGAAAGCCTACAGTATCAAAGCCCAAATCTCATAATTAAAAAGTCCTATCCACTTTCTCTCGATTTCGATATGTGCCACTTGCAATACAAAACTAGCTAACTAGTTGACAATTCACGAACATTTCCGATTTTCCTCAATTTTAAAACTGTCTGTAAAAAAAAAAACCTCTTCTGAGAAGAAATCTATGTTTCAATTATTCATTTTTTCAACAAAAAATGCATAAATATTACCCAAATCTTAATGAAATTTCACAAATCTAGTTAAATTTCAAAATCAATTTAGAGAGAAAAGATAAAGACGGAAACTAACTTTTTCGCCTATTTTCATATTATAAAAATTGACATTTTCGCATGCTGACACAGCGCAAATATTATCAGTGATAGCGGCAACAGTTCCACTGCTGGATGCTACCACGTTACAAGTGCCGTCGTGTGCATAACGCAAATACTGTTTGGTAAGCCCCATTCCTGTAAGTTATTTGAATATTTGGCTCATGCTCAGCATCAAGCATAAGGAAAATCATATTTTTACCGTCGATTAATGCAACCAGTGAATCAATTAAACGGCTGACATGTGAATCTAATTTTCATAATCAGTTTTAACTTCATACCAAAATCGTTTCCATGAAATGTGTTGAAAACTACTGCTAGTAATCCTGTAATTGTACAAATGGTACTAATTATTAGCACTAATTATTAGTTATTAGCATTGAGCAGTTCAATGTGACTCAACTGAATGTTGCAAAATCTGAATATACCCCACAATTTAAGAATAAGCCGGACATAATACCGGAACTTCCAACAAAGCCCATCTGATTCACTAAAAAAGCAAATCGATCTGCAACAATGAGGAAACGTGGTTTACGTTTGAATTGCATTGTTTGAAAATAAAAATCCCATGGTGGAAAAAAATTCACTTTCTTCGGCTGTATGCCAAATAAGTATGGATTCGTTTTGAGATTCCATTTAAAATTTAATGCAAAATAAAAAAATTTTAAGATAATTCTATCAGTTATTGCTTTTGAGCAATTTAGAAAAACGAATTGCAAAAATTTGCATATTACAAGAAGTTCATGTAAACAAATATATTTTACACTGATAATTCACATTTATTTTAAGCATTTAAACTATACTTTTCTTATTACTTCCAAAAGCATAAAATTATTTAGCTGAAATTTTAACAAAGTTCATTATAAAAACTTCATACTGTATACCCATCAGATAGTCATAATAATTTTATAATATCTATGTCATTTGAAGGAAAATTATCCTCTTTTAAAAATAAATAACAATTATCCTTTTTGATTAGATAATTTGCTTTTTTATTTGTTTTTAATTAAAAAAATGAGATATCGAATGGATATGTAAAATGAATGAATTTGATTTAAGTCAAATCGTTGATTCCAAAAAATACTATCGTTGATTCCAAATTCTGAAAAATCAAAAAAACTGTTCATTCATTAAAATTTCTATCAAAAAATTGTTGTTATAACATTTCCTATCTATAAATTTAAGTTAACAATTGTTAAATTTTTTATTTTATTCCAGAAATTTCAAAAATTTGATTCGTTGATTCTTTTGAGGTACTTCCGAGACCATTGGGATGTCACAATGATACAATCGTTGATTCCAAAAATGATAAATTTTATGCAGGATAAATCCAAAATATATGGTTAGAATTACTTTGACGGAAATAATAACTTATTTTGGTATAGTCCTTTTCTTACTTTAAATATTGTTGACTTCATGAATTCAATAAAATATAATTAGCCTTGTAGCATTTCTTTTAAAAAGCAATGAACTGAAATATTATGTCATAAAGAGTGTAATTGTGTCAGTAACAATTTAATACAATGTTTAAAATGTGTAGGATTCAGAAGGAGTTGTTGTTGCTGGGTGGATTGAATACTGTAAGAAGAAGAAGAAGAGGAGAAAACTTTGTTTTATAGAAAATGAATTTAAAAGCATTGCTTATTTGCTAAAATACCATTTGTAACATGAGATCAGTTTAGCATAGTTAAACTCTCAGATATTCAAGCATTTCAGTAGAACATATCACATTTAAATTATTTCATGTATGCTTTGTTTTATTTTATATCGCATAATAGAATAAGTTTTCAGAAATTTGGAAGAAAAATTGATATTTTATTAGTTTTATAAATAAATGAATTTACATTTTTTGAAAGAAAAAATATTTCCTAATTAAGTACTTTTGTTTTAAAATTAAATGATCCGAAAAAAGAGAAAAGATATTTGAAATGAAAAATTATGAAAAGAATTTTAACAAAATATACATATATAATCAAATAATAAAACTTATTTTGCTGATATGCAAATGATTGGATAGCATTTATTTAAAATGCAAGTTTATAAAGGCAGTTATTATTGTTTTATATAAACACTTCACAAGTCGGTGAAATGAATACTATAAATCAACAAATTAACCTTTTTCAGCAGGTTTCTCTTTGTTATTTAAATATAAATTCTGTTTGTTAAAATTCTAGAAAATTCTGAAAACTTAAATAGCAATTTTTTCTTAAGGGAAGAATACTGTGAAGTCATTTTCTCTCTGATTCCGAGAAATAAACATTCCTTTCATTTTCACTTTTAATGCGTTAAGCAAAGAAAAAAACCGGGAAAAATACAATACCTATTTTCGAAATTATTGAAGAATCAGAAATGATTCAAAATAATTGATCGGATTCCTAAAAGATTCATGGGAATCGATTAATCAAAAAACTAATTCATAACTTCCTACTTCTGTTAAGTTTAACTTAGCTTAAGTATCATTAAAAATTTTCTTCTCCTCAAATAATTTGAAAAACTATGGTAGTTATTACCACTTGTAAAAAGTTCACTGTGCTGGCAAGAAGATCATTAAACTATTTAGCTTACTCCATCCATTTATTAAAATTATTGACAAATTTGAAAAGCTTATTTATTAGTAGTTTTCATTAAAATTCAGTAAGTTAACTACTCCACTTCGTCATTTTTTAACAATTCTCGATACGTAATTAGGCTGATATATTATTTTTATTAATTAGATAACTACTTATCAATATTTCAATTCATTTTGAAATCTTTGATCGAAATTTAAATTTTGTTTTAACCTTTACGTACAATTTACTTTAGCCGAGCAAAAATGCATCATATACTTCCCATTCAAACTGGTCAGCTATTCAAGAGTTGCAATTTTCGGTGATAATCGATAATCATCGTATCCGTGGACAATTTATTGAATCATTACCATTTGCGGTTAAATTTCCAACTGAAAATATTGATTTCATCGTGCATCCAGACCTTGATAAGTTACGCACGATCTTTGAACAATTTTAAGAGAAGAACAACTTAAAATGTTTATGTTGACTAGTGAAGGCAGTTCATAATATCACAGGATGCGAAATAGCTTCATGAAGTAAAAGCAATGATTATTGATATATAACAGCAAACTTAGAATATAAGTAGAGTAGCGCTAGTTTAAGTAAAAATAGATAAATGAAGACATTTTATAAACAGGAAAAATCTTTTTACTTACCTAATTTAATTTCTTGAATTCGCTACTTTTAATTTTTATTAATTAAAAGTTTAATTTTACAGATGGGCAATCCGACGGTGCTACTATATGGCCGTGCACAGTATGAACTTTCGGAATGGAAATATACGACACAACTTCGGATTAAAACTGGAACTGGTAGGTTTTTTCCCTCAATATTTTCTTTTAATGTGTATCCGAACACCAATGCATTAGTCCTATGTGATAATACTTACGTAGATCCGCGTTGTTACATATTGCTTAAAGTTATTCTAATGTAGAATTAGTTAAAGGTCACATATCACGCAAACAGCTAATAATTGCTTGTTTAATAAAAATTCATTGTTATTGAAAATTTGCTTTATGAGACCAAATATTTTTTACTCCCTAACATTTGTAGCTGAAAAGGAGCAAGGAGTACGTATAGTTGATAAATTGTTAGTTGAATTTGGTAATCGAATGCCGCCATTGTCATTCAATTTGAAGGATACAAAAGTAAAACGCATTAAATTCGAAATGCGATTAATAAATAAGGTTGAATCCTACTAATTTATTGATCTACTAATCAAATTGTAATACATTTTTGGAATTCAATAATTTTTAATTTTTGTCCTTGAGAAATTTAAATTTGAAAAGCAATAATGACTTAGAAAATTATTCAACTGATCAAGTGATTGACATAAATTCATTTTATAATTTAAAGCTACAGGAAAATTGGAACATTTCAGTTATATGAACAGTTACCGACATTTCAAAGTGGAGGCGATATAATATTATTATTCGAACAAAATGAAAAGTTATACGTCGATAAAGCATTGTTAGCTGTACATTCTCGTTATATGGGTAAGGGAAACAATTAATGTCAGATTAAAATATAGCATAATTATATATTCATAAAATGTGTATCGTAAAATTTTAAATATTCCCAAAAAGGTAAAGATTAAGTTTTTGTTAGATAAATCGAAAGTCACAAATTTATCGTAGTAATAAAAGATAAACATTATTGATCGAGAAAATTATAAATTAATAAGTTGAAGGATTTTTACTTTAAAGTGATTCTTAATTTCCTAATGTTAAATGTTAATTTGATATCTTTTTAACTATAACGATTTTTATTTGTTAAAATTAAAAACTTTATATTGATCTCTTTTCATCGTTAAAAACAAATTTTTGATTTTGAAAAGAAATTAGCTGTTTTTTATAGCATCAATGCTTCACGATGCCGCTCCTAATGCTATAATTGATATGTGTTTCTTTGGTCTTAATGATTTTTTGGAATTACTTTATCAAATTTATGACACTAGGCGACCAATTTCCGCCAATCTTTTTGCACTTTCGCGAGCAGCAATAAGTTATAAGGCTGATGTGATCCTAGCCAGAATCACCAAATTTATATCAAATCTTGATGTTAGCTTATTAATCTAATATTCCTCATTTTATATTATATAGCATTTTATAACTAACTAAGATGATTTATACAACTTAATCGAATAAACTGATAAAATCGAATAGTTTATTAAATTAATTTTATAAATAATTTTTCTCTTAATTTGTTTGCAGATGTGTCAGATGCCTTTACATTAATGCAAAAAAGAATAGGCATGTTGTTAGTATCATAACTGAAACATTAGGACCTCCGAATGACTGACTATAGCATGTCTCTTGATAGCTTACTACATTTTCGGTCAAGCATCAACCTGCAATATCAACCATAAAATGACAAATTTGCATTCTTCTTCTCTATTTTACTTGCTCAATAAGGCCAATTTTTTTTGCTGTTTATTTAAGATGGATTTGATATCCAAATTTCAATTAGCTATTCAATTGGAATTGGATCACACACTCATCGAATTAGTTTACGACGCCGAACAGCGAGGTAATGAATAATAAAGTTTCTAACCATTTGCTGAATTTTCGTACATCAAATCAATAAACACTATCTTTTGCTAGAATAGCTAATTAAAATAGTAAGGAAAGTTAGAATTTAGACCAAAATTTAAAAATTATAAAACATACAGTTAAAGCCATATAATTTATAGGTGTGTGGAGAGATTTGATCGAACAAGGATTTGAGCCAAAATCGCTTGGTACCGAAATTTACCATCGTATTATTTGTCCGGCAATAATTAAAGTATATTTAACAGCATTTAAATGTTTAAATTTCATTTAAAGTATCATTAATTAGTAGAAGAGAAAGTTTTATAAGAAATACAAATTATAGGCTCGGCAGTATCGCCTGGGTGTCAATCCTTATTCGTCGCATTTACAATTTAATTTCCGTATACCACAACACCCGTATACTGTACCATTGTTGGTACCGGGTCAAACATTATATGTTAATAAAGGAATATTATCATTATATGGTATTAATATTTTGGAAAATTTACAAGGTTAATTGTTGTGTGTTCATTTTTTCTATTATTTCTGAACATTTAAAAATAATTATTTAAAACAAACTCTAAAAAAATAATTATTTGCAAACGTAACAAAGATGGGATTTTTGCTTTATTTAAGTAAATAAAAACTCACTTCATTAAACAAAGCAAAAAGTTAATTTAAATTCGATTCAAATGCTTGCGTAAATTTTCCAACTTCAACATTTTTATAGGTGGATATTTTCTACGAATAACATCAAAATTGGCCGCATCTTGCGCCAATGCTGGTATTACCGTAATAGATCTAATCCTGAAAATGCTACAACATATGTATCCGAGCCAAGCGGTCGTGCCAGGCCCTTATATTCGACCGATGATGTCATTGGCTGAGGAACATGGAATGAAAAGATTGTTGAATAGTCTATGCGAAGTTACTCTTATTTCATTTATTTCAACGCATGATAATTTCTAAAGAATTTTTGTTAACTAAGAAATTATTTCATCCAATGAAAATCATAATGCATTCACGACATTTTGGGAAATATATTCTTTTAGCTGCAATTTCATCTAATAAATTAATTTAATGCTGAAGTTCACTCAGATCAAATCAACTTAGGTCAAATTTATAGGAATTAATCAAGAATTTCTCTTTCAAATTTAATTTTCTTTTTTAAAGATGCTAGCAATGGAGCCAACATTATCGCCAACAAGAATGCTTGAAAATTTCGAACTTGCAAGCAGATATCATCATTTAAACTTATTAAATGCAAATCTTTTACGTATAGAAGGAAGGTAAGAATCAAACTCTTTTTACTAAATCTCAGTCAAAAAAATCTAATTTTTATAGCTTTAAAAGAAAAGTTGACGAAATGGTCACATTAGAAAGATTTGATGAATTACCGGATGAGATTCAACAACAAATCCTGGAACGGCAATATTCTGGATGGGCATTAAATGATCAACACTTAGCAAAGTAAGCTTACAAGCTTAAAATTATTTTCTTTTTTTTAACCAAATTGAAGACTTCAATTCACCCAATATTAAGATGTCAAATTAATATTGCTACCCTCAATCTGAAATGTAGTAAAAATTATTTCAAAAGTTCTAACATTTACATTTACCTACACAGTGTACCAACTACAAATATGGAAAGAACAATATCGTTAATTAGTGGTGGATTGAAACCAAATGCATACGAGAAGGACCGTAATTTGATGACATTTCAAGGTATGAAATCGGTGGAAGCATTTGGTTCTGTGGAAGAAATGAATATTACGGACCCCTAAAATTTCTAATTGTTATTTATTTCAAAGAGCATATTCGCTTTCATATAGTAAACTCTGTTTTTCACTGTTGTTGCTGAAGAGTTACTTTGCTGAGGTCAAGTTGAAGTTAGAGGATAACTACTTATAGCTAGCCAGCTATGTCAAATAGATTTAATGAACAGTTTGCATACACATTCTATGTGAATCTGTCTCTTTTTTATGTCTACGCTTCATTTTAATTACAATTGTATATGTACAAGAAATGGAGTGAAAATACATTTTAACATTTTTTCTGGCTATTTAAATGACAGAATAACGGTCAGATTAATTATTGTCGCAGTTTCTTTTAATTCATTCTTTCGTTACCTAAAAGAGAAGCATTTTGATGAATACAACATTTTCTGAAATGCGGCACAAATCATCAGAATCATTCCGGCACTCAGGAATACACATTAATGTATAATTGCGTACACATATTGCGTACGTACATATGTTGAATATCATTATGCTTTTCGCAAAACCCGCTTTCTTCCATTATCTTCTTGTTTGCAAATTTCAAATCCGTAATTTTCGAAATCTTTGCACAATCCTCTAACTCCTATATTTCCCTGCTTTTTTTTTTTTTGAAAATTATTTCAAAAATTTCCATATTTCTGTATTAAATCTATTTTATTATAAAATAATTTTACATTTCGAATTTGTTATTTTAGATCTCAAAAATTTTAAATGTAAACCTGAAAAGTGATAATTTCAAATTTATTTACTTTGAAATTTTTGCATCTTTTTTCAATACTAAAAGAAAGTTAATATTAAACTTCATTTTTTAATATTAAACAGTACTTTCCTATCTTTTTTGAACAAAAATTACGAGTGATCAAAGAACTCTCTGACACCGAAATGATTAATAATTGCTCTTTTTCAAGAGATACAATGTACTAGACGAAACCCTTCAACTGCCGATTTTTTAAATCGTATATCATCATCTAATAAATCTGACTTACATCTTTTGATTTCTTTTCTTTTCGAGAATCTTGAATCTTACTTCGACGATTCAGACGTATCTTCTGAATTATCGGCTATTTTCTGATCTTTTTCATTATTGAAATTTGCTCCTTCCATTGGCACAACTGTTTCTTTATGAATTTTATCCTTTGCAGCAGCGACCATTTCACTTTTTTGACGGCCTTCTGAAGGAAATGACTTTAAAGAGACAGATCGTGTTGTTGACAGAGATGATGGAACCGAAATTTCGGTTCCTGGCTTCTTGGAAAGTTCTGTTGGTGGTGAGATTGACAATTCAATTTCTGGCTTTGCGGGATATTTAGATGATATCGATGACTGAGTCGGGATTTTTATTTCTGGCACTGGGATGAGTTCTTTCGATTCTGATATAACGGATGGTTGCTGCGTTTTTGGTGTCGTAGTAGGTTCTTTTGATGGCGGTGATATTGCAGATGGTTGTTGCACTTCCGATGTTGTGATTGGTTCCTTTGATAGCATTATAGATGATTGATGCACTTCCGATGCTATGGTTGATTCTTTTGATGGCAGTGATATTACAGACGTTTGCTGCATTTTCAGTGTTGTGGTAGGTTCTTCTGATAGTAGTGATATTGCAGATGGTTGCTGCACTTCCGGTATTGTTGATTCTTTTAATGGCGGCGATATTGTAGATAGTTGCTGCATTTTCGCTGTTGTGGTTGGTTCTTCTGATGACGATGATATTACAAATGGTTGCTCGACTTCCGGTGTTGTGGTTGGTTCTTTTGATGGTAGTGATATTACAGACGGTTGCTGCATTTTCAGTGTTGTGGTTGGTTCTTTTGATGGTGGTGATATTGCAGATGGTTGTTGCACTTCGGATGTTGTGGTTGGTACTTCTGATAGCAGTGATATTGCAGATGGTTGCTGCACTTCCGGTATTGTTGATCCTTTTAATGGCTGCGATACTGTAGATAGTTGCTGCATTTTCGCTGTTTTGGTTGGTTCTTCTGATGACGATGATATTACAAATGGTTGCTCGACTTCCGGTGTTGTGGTTGGTTCTTTTGATGGTAGTGATATTACAGACGGTTGCTGCATTTTCAGTGTTGTGGTTGGTTCTTTTGATGGTGGTGATATTGCAGATGGTTGTTGCACTTCGGATGTTGTGGTTGGTACTTCTGATAGCAGTGATATTGCAGATGGTTGCTGCACTTCCGGTATTGTTGATCCTTTTAATGGCTGCGATACTGTAGATAGTTGCTGCATTTTCGCTGTTTTGGTTGGTTCTTCTGATGACGATGATATTACAAATGGTTGCTCGACTTCCGGTGTTGTGGTTGGCACTTCTGATAGCAGTGATATTACAGACGGTTGCTGCATTTTCAGTGTTGTGGTTGGTTCTTTTGATGGTGGTGATATTGCAGATGGTTGTTGCACTTCGGATGTTGTCGTTGGTACTTCTGATAGCAGTGATGTTGCAGATGGTTGCTGCACTTCCAGTATTGTTGATTCTTTTAATGGCGGCGATATTGTAGATAGTTGCTGCATTTTCGCTACTGTGGTTGGTTCTTCTGATGGCGATAATATTACAAATGGTTGCTCGACTTCCGGTGTTGTGGTTGGTTCTTTTGATGGTGGTGATATTGCAGATGGTTGTTGCACTTCGGATGTTGTGGTTGGTACTTCTGATAGCAGTGATATTGCAGATGGTTGCTGCACTTCCGGTACTGTTGATTCTTTTAATGGCGGCGATATTGTAGATAGTTGCTGCATTTTCGCTGTTTTGGTTGGTTCTTCTAATGGCGATGATATTACAAATGGTTGCTCGACTTCCGGTGTTGTGGTTGGTTCTTTTGATGGTAGTGATATTACAGACGGTTGCTGCATTTTCAGTGTTGTGGTTGGTTCTTTTGATGGTGGTGATATTGCAGATGGTTGTTGCACTTCGGATGTTGTGGTTGGTACTTCTGATAGCAGTGATATTGCAGATGGTTGCTGCACTTCCGGTATTGTTGATCCTTTTAATGGCTGCGATACTGTAGATAGTTGCTGCATTTTCGCTGTTTTGGTTGGTTCTTCTGATGACGATGATATTACAAATGGTTGCTCGACTTCCGGTGTTGTGGTTGGCACTTCTGATAGCAGTGATATTGCAGATGGTTGCTGCGCTTCCGATGCTATGGTTGATTCTTTTGATGGTGGTAATATTGCAGATGGTTGTTGCACTTCGGATGTTGTGGTTGGTACTTCTGATAGCAGTGATATTGTAGATGGTTGTTGCACTTCGGATGTTGTGGTTGGTACTTCTGATAGCAGTGATATTGCAGATGGTTGCTGCACTTCCGGTATTGTTGATTTTTTTAATGGCGGCGATATTGTAGATAGTTGCTGCATTTTCGCTGTTGTGGTCGGTTCTTCTGATGGCGATGATATTACAAATGGTTGCTCGACTTCCGGTGTTGTGATTGGTTCTTTTGATGGCAGTGATATTGCAGATGGTTGCTGTTTGATTGATTCTTTTGATGGCGGTGATATTGCAAGTGGTTGTTGTACTTTCACTGTTATGGTTGGTTCTTTTGATAGCAGTGATATTACAGATGGTTGCTGCGCTTCCGATGCTATAGTTGATTCTTCTGATGGCGATGATATTACAGATGATTGCTGCACTTCCGATGTTGTAGTTGATTCTTCTGATGGCGGTAATATTACAGATGGTTGTCGCATTTTTGATATTGTAATCGGTTCTTTTAATAGCCTTTTGATTTCTGGCATCTTTAATTGAGTTTTAGATTCGATTTTTGATAATAAAATTGATTGTTCCATGGACTTTTGCTCTTCTTTTGGCTTTTCTGAATTATCTTCTTCATTTATTTTCGTCTTCCGACGATCTTTTATGATCTCTTCTGTTAGAGGACATGAAGAAGACTTCGTTAAGGGCAAGATTTTAAAACCAGCAACTTCTTGTTCTTTCATTCCTTCTTTTCTAAGTTCTGTCGTGTAAAGTAAAGTGTTATCATCACATTCTGTCCGATCAATCTCTTTTGACTCCTAAAAGAGAGTGACTGCATGGTATTACAACTTAAAAAGTCCAATACATCAAGTATCTTGAATCTTAAGTTCGAAACGTTATAGGTAGAACTTCTATGCAATCCCGAAACTGATAAGGTGATACTTGAAACAATTGTGATGGAATGCTGCAACATTTCAAAAATTGGATTTTTAGCATCAATGTAGAAAGTTTTTCAGAGCTTAACTATGGGTCATGTAAAATGATTCTGCGGTTAATAGACGCATATCATATTTCTTGAAGCTTTTGTTCAGATATCAGACTTCTACCTCTTATATGTAATCATATAAATCATAAATTGTCACCTCAGTGATTTCGACATTCTTTTCTTTTTCCACTTCTTCATCAGTCTTTTTTTCTTCCTGACTTTCTGGAGCTTCATCCAAAATTTTCCGTTGTTCTTTTCCCATTCTTGATGATTTTCGATGAAGCTTTACTGAAAATCAAACCAAAAACTCCTCTTTAACTATACTATTCATTATGCACCTCTGTGGATACGCAGAAAATTGTTGTAAGAAAAAAGGAAACGGCTGATGTTATTGTTACACGTGCAATTCGGTAAGCCCAGCTTATTACAAGAATAAAAGTCTTTCTTTTTCTACTCTTAACATTTAAACTTATTATAAATTACCAACAATTAAGTCTTTCATTTTCATTGCTTTACTTTTGTCTTCCGCTTTTTTTGAAATTTAATTTAGTTGCAATTTTAAAACTAAAAGAATATATTTTTGTATATAGAAATCAAAGATAAATTCAGGCTACGAAATCCAACCATAATACTAATTAACTACATGTCTGAATTTTCAATATCCCTTAATTTTTTGCTATGTTTCGAAGATAATAGAGCCTATAACTTTCTTGTTGGATATTACGTCTCATCATATTATATCTTACATGATACTTATATGTTATTATAACTTGGTGCATTCCCAACCTTTAATTAATTATAAAGCATAGATAAGAATTTCCATGATATAATCAATTTCAGAGGACCTTCTGATCGCTTGGCTTGTTTTCTCAATGTTTTAGATCCTTTTTGCTTCTTTTCTTTTACTTTTTCTGTTTTCCGCTTTTTCTTTGCTTTTTTTAATTTCGGTTCCTCTTCATCTTCGGCAACTAATTCATTACCTTCTTCCTCAGTTTTCTGGAAACTTTCAGTTGATACATTGCTGGTAAAAAGCGTATATACATTGATAAGTTCGTTATTATAGAGTAATAATTAATAATCCATCACTTTAACAAAACTATAGAGCATGAATAAGTTAAACTAATTATATCTGTGATCAGAAAAATCAGTAAATGGTATTAAATTTTAAGTTTCAAAAGAATAGTATGCAACATTCATCACTGCTTCAGTCGCATATTAGTTTTATGATCGTATCTTGCTTGCTATAAAACTCTTTTTATTTGTTTGTTTTGTAATTAATAAATTAACATATGAACTGACATCCAGTTTCATTATCATGGTGGACTGTGAAATGACATCCTGTTTCAATATGACCGGTGAGTACAGGGGAGGAGTAGAAGCTGACATCACAGGGGAGTAGGATACGGCTGAATTGCTCGATGTAGTTGAGGTACTCGTTCCTTCTGATGTTGTTGCTGTTGTTGTTTTCGTCTCAATTTTAGTTGGTTGCAAACCTTGCTTCCATTTTATCTTACTGCGCACTCTACTATGCGCCGGTTTTCGTTGAACCTCGACCACTTCAAATTCAGTCTTATCATTCTCATCGTCCTGTTTCATATGTTTCCTCAAAAGAAGCAAACTAATTACACTAATTAAACAACCATCTTAATTCACCAACATTTATCCATACTAAAGTTTAACATGCAACAATGACAAGGAATAGAGTTAGATAGTATACATTACGAAAATTTTCGAAGTTGTTTAAAGTATCTTAATTATATATAGTCCCATTTTTTTTTGCGTGAGAGATTCTTGTCCACCAAAAAAGGAAAGAAAACTGCGGAAAACAGTTTAGTAATGCAACATTATGGACTAATTCAAAACAAAAATTTTAATTAATTCTTAATTGCTTTCAAAAAAAAGATGAAAGCAATGATTGCACATTTTTCTGTTTTTCATTTTCCATCCCGCATTTAATATGACTTGCCTTTGGTATGCTTTCCGTCGAATTCTTCGTTTAGATTGACCTCTAAAAAGGAAAAAAGAATCTGTAATAGGTACAACATTCGATTTTCAATTTTTGACGTTAGCATAAAAATTTCCCGCCGATCCTCTCCCTGTCAGTGCATAAACATACAGGTGAATAAATATCATTTCATGAATTACTTCATGAAAAGCAAACTTACTCCCAATTTACTACCACTATTTGTGCTATTTGTGCTAAAAAAGGATCAATCCGAAATATCGGATTGATCCTTTTTTCTTTTAATTGCTGAATAGTAGTGTATTCTTACTGCGGAATTTTTTTTTGAAATTAGTTTTTGGTTTAATAAAAGAATTGAAACGACTGAAATTACAAAGTATGATTGATGAAATCTACTAAATATAGTTGCAGATCAAAAAGAAAAACTTTGAAGAAGTTATTATATAGTTAAAGTTGGACTGTTCGGATTTATGCGCAGTTAAATATATCCTTTAAGCGATTAAAATAAGAACAGGGCATTATCCGAGCCACTGGAAAAAAGTGGAAAGATGGAAAAAATGATTTGAAACATAGACTATATTTACCATATTTAATGTAGTAAAATTAATGAAGTTTAGCTTTTAGAAAAGAACTGATCTTAAAACAGGAGACTTTTCAAGTCAGTTAATGAGCTGTTGAAAAAGATGGGACAGCTAATTTATTATGAACAGTTATAACTTAAGTTGAAGTGCCAAAAAAATGTCAATAAAATAGTCCAAATCTTCCAGTATCAGATTAAGTATCATTTTATCGTCATTTAAGTGACAATTAGCATGTTACTATTTTGAAAACTCATCTACATTAAAAAGCAAAATTTGTATACCTGAATCGACCTTTTCTAGACGCTCTGTTCTTGTCTTCTAAAAAAATTGATATTCTATCAACAGGAAAAACAACAGATGTCAAGTGAATTAGACCGATCAGATGTATCGATACTTCCGACTCTTCATTTCGGACCAAAAAAACGAACTTAAGACAATTTTTTGTATTTTCAATTTCGTTTTTGTTTTCACGTTTTCCCTCTTCAAGTTGCCTGTGATTTTTAAAAGTGACACTTCCATCGTTGCAAAACAAACTAAAGAAAACTGGAAATGGACTTATACTGACCAAAACTTGCCACATGCCTAACTGATATTAGACCAATATATTCATACTTAATCCACATATTTTCCCTTTCAAGTTGCCTGTGATCTTCAAATTATTTCACGATTTACGAGTTTCTCAGCTTTTCTCATTTCCAATTTACTCGTTTCAAGACTTCACAAACCTATTTCAATGTTGTCACCAAAAAAAAGACACCATAAATAGAAGAATCAAAATTGATTGGCTAGATTGACGGATTCCGGATCTCTTCTTGAAATGAGAATTACATGGGCTATATATTCTCCGATTTCAGAACACTTACTGTGAAAGTGCTGCATTAAAACAACTGGAAATCCGGTTTGAAATGCTGGCTCACTCTGAATTAGCGGCCACTTAATATACATTTAAAGACTGCAAATGAAGCATTTCGCTGATGATGAATCAATTTATACCATCAGTTCTTCCAACCATAACAATGAATGTTATAATCAATTAGACACCCGATTCTAATTCCTTCTATTTCAGGTTTGCTACAAACCAGACGATGGTATACGACATTGATTGACCTGGATTTCTTCTTTGGTCCGTCCGATCGGTTTGGTCAGGACTTATTCTTCGATATCAGTTTCAGGACTTGGACTATGCTTTGTATCGTGCTTAACCACTATCTTATTTCAAGATGTCCCTTCATTGACTCATAATCGCGGAATTAATTTTAATTGTAATTCAATTAAGCATAACTTATCCTGATACATACACTTATTGATCCATTGATTTATCATACTCATCAACTGGGAATCCTACTTCTGCGATGCAGATGAAGGTATTTTGCAGAATGCCTAAGACGATTAGTTTGTATGCTTTAGAGGTAAGAGGATTCCGACATACACGGCTAAGCTTGGAATGGGCTACTGTGAGTGTCAGTAGCTTGAGGAAGTTATTTCGAAGGATGATGTTTGCTGTGCGTGCTTCTTGCAAAAAATACTCAAGTTACATTAGTCGTACTTGCATGACTTGAGGCGTGACCTGCGTTATTTTAATATTAAGGAATGTATTTGTAAGGCCTTATTTATGCTAACTTGTTACAAATTAAGTCAGTTTTTGTTGATTCTGTGTTGTCTGCATTTCTTTATGTCTTATTTGTGTAAATCTTACGCTTCGTTCGATGTCTGACTTGGATTTATTGCTCATTCTTATATTACTTACTGAATACTCCTCTTTTACCTCGTCCACTTCACTTTCCACTCATTTTAACTTATTACTTAGTTTTTGCATCTAAGTAGTATCCATGACTAATTCATAGTGAGTACATATCCTTTGGTTATTGAATTCATCAATTACAATCTATTTAATGATATCACTTTCTGCATGATCCTTTGTATTATGCAATATTATCGTATTTCTATTTGGTTTCACTTATTCAATTAATCATTGCAGTAATAATGAGTAATAATCATTACAGTAAAGGTGCTATAAAAAAATTTCGACAGTTATCGCGAAGTATGGGTTTACAGCAAGATCAGCCGTTGTTTGATTTACCGGAAGTGTTTGATAATCGTAGTGGTTGGGGACCTATTGGGACGTTGGATAAATTTCAACATTTGCCCTATCAACAGTTCAATAAAGCCGATAAAATTGGCAAAGTAGCTGATTGGATCGGTGTCACGCAATATAATGATCGATTTAGGCGTTAGTTTTTTGAATCATTTTGACTGGACTCGGCTGAGACATACAGTCGTTTTATTTGGTGGACAGATTTGTATCCAGATAGCAAGTAAATTGTAGAAAACATTAGCAGTTAGAAACATATCATCTAGAAGTTCACATTTTGCCACAAGAACAATGCTATATCATATTCGTTAATTATGTGATTTTACACTAAATGATGAATATACGTTTGACATTTTACCGATCGAGGTGCACAATAATGATCGATTTAGGCGTTATTTTTGTGAATCATTTTGACTGGACTCGGCTGAGACATATTAGCTCCTGGCTGAGTTATCGTTATTGCCAGGACAAAAATGCTTGATAGGTCGAAAATTCCATGTTTTGATTGATATTTTCAGGAGATGGTCGGTATGGTAATCCATACACATCTGGTGCTGTTGGCTCGCAGTATGATTACGTTCACGATGAGGAAGATGCGACATTTCTGCTCGTTGACACAAGTAAACCACAACGATCGAATATGCAAAAAAGCGGTCGTATGCGACAGCAGCAGCAGTTCTATGTAAGATTTTGTTTAAGACTATTAAAACTTTTTTGAAATAAGCAATTAAAGAGAAAAATTCGGAAATTAATCAATTCTCCTCTGATTATTTAATCGAAAATTTTATCAATCTTCTTGATAATAATTTGTTAAATTAACGAATTTTGACATTCAATTGAATTGTTTCTTTGATTTTGCGGTCTTTTCAATTCTTAGTTATCAATGTCGTGATATCTAATTTTTATGAACATCGCATCAGATGAAATAATTAAGATGCAGAACTGTACTGAGTAAGTAATTGTCAAATGGTATTCACAACAGTGAGCAAGGTATCTGATGAAAGAGTTTTTCAAAATGAATAGGCATTTTTTACTTAGCAGTGTGAAATCTGCGTGCCTATCAATTTTTTACGTGCTTCTTGCATTGTTTGCAGCGAAGATTGGTGCAAAAAGAGAATGAGCGGAGAAATCAAGCGAATTATGGACAAAATCAAAAGATTAAACGTAGTATTGCAAAGTAAGTTGGAGTAAAATTATTTTTCTCTGTTATAAACAAAATTTAAGGAAAATACATGATTTTTTGTTTATTTCTTACGCATTATAGTTTTTTTAAGAGAACAACAGAAAGCGTTTAAACAGTGGCAACGACGTGGAGGTGGCACGCGTGGTCGCGGCCGTGGTGGTCAAGGTTATGGTCGATGGGATCAACGTAACCAAAAACAGTTAGCTGCTAGTATTGCTGTACGTCCTGAATGGCAAGTTTTGGAAGAAATGGATTTCCCACGCCTTGCAAAACTTAATCTGCCGAACATTGAATCAGGCCATGATATGTACGCATTTTGATTAGTTTATCGTTCTAGTAATACTGGCTGATCTGTGTGAGAGATTTAAAGGAGTTCATGTGATTGCAAAATAAGTCCGGTTGTAATGAATCCATCTAGTTCCCAAGATTTTGCAATTGTACTAAAATTTTTTTCAGAAATGGCCATCGTTATGGTCAACTTTATTATTATGACAAAGCGTTTGATCGTGTTACGGTACGAACGGAAAAGCCATTGCAACGTTGTGGCGGTACATTTTATAATTTAACGACAACCGAAGATCCTATAATCCAGAAGGTTGATTGCATAAATTTCCTTACCTCAAGTTCTTATATTTTTCACTCAGTTAAGATCAATTTCAGTATGTCGTCTTAGTAACGGTTAACCGACCGTATAGTTTTAGTAAAAAACTGCTTCCAGTTAGCTCAAGAAAATGCTGGGAATGTTTTTGCAACAGATATGATATTGGCAACGCTGATGGCAGCTACTCGATCAGTATATAGTTGGGATGTTATCGCTTATCGTGTTGGTGATAAGCTGTTTTTTGATAAACGCGATACGGGTGGTTTTTCAAACCCAGTTGGTATGTTCATGTGCCTTTTTTCTCGCTAATTCTATCTAATATACTTTCATGGCATGCCTATTCAGGCGGTATATTTCCGTGAATATAATTCGGTTATGCTCAATGATTGTTCCTGAGATATCCCATGATAAGAATATGGGAAAAGCTCTTCCATTAAAGTGACCTAGATTTATTTCCATTGGGTTAATAACATACTCGCTTAATCGATTAGACATATGATTGAAAGATATCTTTCACAGATTTCACGGTATGCAGACACACTTCACGATATTGAATTTTAGATGCTTTAACAGTGAGCGAAACTTCACCGGATGCTCCAAATAGTGACGATACCACAAGTATTAATCATCCACGTAATCTTGCTACAGAGGCCCTCTACATAAATCAAAATTTCCGTCGAATGGTGCTCAAAAGAGTGAGTTTATGTACCTTGAAGACATTTGCCAGTCAAGTAATACTAATAATACTGCAATTATTGTATTTCGCAATTGGATTTCAGAACGAAGAACCGTTCAAATATGATAATCCACGTCTTCCATTCGATGAAGGTGATACGGATGCGGATTCGTGCGTTGCATACAAGTTAGTTTTGTACTATTTCTAGATATTGATGTTACAGTTTTTTTTCTTACTAATAGTCTAGACAAACTAGAACCTGTTTTGTTAGATTTATTGATGTTGTCTGATGTTTCAGTCTTTTATACATATGCATGTTTTGACAAAAATTCAAGGTACCAATTGCTTTTGAAATCGTTCACTGGTTTTGCATTCTTCGATCAATTTTGACATACTAATTTATCGTTTTACTTTAAACTTCTTACGGTATTCATTGCTGTGCTGATTGTTTGATTAACTGAGCAGAATTATCAGTTTGTGCTTGTACAGACTCTTTTTATCAGATCCGAATTTCTTTTACAGAATTTTGTCTGAGTATAGCAGAAAACATATGGATTGGAGCTAGGAAATCTAGGATAGCGAAACATCGTCATAATCAAAAATTCGATGTTTAGAAATTACATTTATAAAGGTATTTATAATTAATTATAGGTATCGTTCATGGTATTTGGGACGTCAAGCAGATGGTGTTGAAGTTCGTCTTATTTGCCGTACAGAGCATGATGGTGTTACCTTGGGACCGAATGGCGAAACACAAATGTTGACTATTAAAGCATTTAATGAATGGGACTCAAGGGTTAAAATTAAATAAGTCTTTAATTTTAAAATATGAAAATATTCAAACCAAAAGGGACAAGATTTATAAACTTAAATAATGATCGTAAAATACAAAATGAACACTTTTGTTCGCAATCAATAATGCAATTTATCAAAAGAAATTTAGGTTGTTTGAAAATTAAATTTCCAGATGGCCAGTGGTGTCGATTGGAGAAGTAAACTGGACACACAGAAAGGTGCTGTGCTTGCTACCGAACTACAAAATAACAGCTGCAAACTAGCGAAATGGACACTGCAGGCACTTTTGGCTGGCTCAGATCAAATTAAATTTGGGTAGGTTCTACTTTTCGGATGAAATTTCAAGAACTGGAAGCAGTGACTATTGAAGATTCAAACTACAAGGTTAAAAGAAGTTTGACGACGCAGGAAAAGAGTAATTTAACATGATTGTAAAAATACACAATCGTGAAGTTACGTTGTTGGTACTACAATATCTGCTATTATAGTGGAAGTTCTTGGATTTTCGTCTTAATCATGATAACTTGTTTTATCAATTTTTGGGTAACATTTCCGATTGTCTTTTTTTTCACTTTTTTTCTCATCTCTGCTATTGGAAATTTCTATTTAATTCCAATAATAATCCCATGAATTTTAGTTACGTTTCAAGGCTGAGTATACGCAACAGTGCTAGCCACGTCATTCTCGGCACTCAACAGTACAAGCCAACTGAATTTGCGACAAATATTACATTGAATTTGGATAACGCGTGGGGCATTTTGCGTTGTATTATTGATCACTGCATGAAGCAACCACCGGGAAAATATCTTTTGCTAAAAGATCCAAATAAGGTTCGAATTTTGTCTTTTCAACTGTTGAGGACTGAAGGATAATCAGAGGAGTCTGTATGTAATGTCCAACAGATGATAACGAATGTAAATCCTAATAGGAAATGGATTTATCTCTCAGTCAAATAAGTAGTCTATTTCATCATTTTCTAGATTTGGTTAGGGATAGAAGATAATAAAATTAAATGTTTGCCCCGTTTATGTTCTTCTGATGTGTTATATTCACACTTAAACGCTTCATTGGCATGTTTTATATGGTTCATATTATAAGATTGGGTTCTCAGCACTGCTACTTAAATAAAGACTGAAAAGTATATTTTTCCGAATGTACGAATAAAGTAAATTGATTAGTTCTTTTTTTCTTATTTTCAGCAGGCAGTACGACTTTACTCATTACCTGAAGGGACGTTCGAATCCAGTACCGAAGAAGAAAGCAGTAATTCTGGTGAAGAAAATTCAGATGGTGATATTTAGGGCAACACGTGAAACTATGGAACAATTATGGAGTAGCTATAGCTTAAATTACGATTGCTTTTCCTTGCATTCTTACTGTTTCAGGTGTATTTCATTGTTCACATTTTAATAAAGCCATGATTCGTTGCCTCAATTATGATATATTTCTTTAAAAAATACAGATTTTAGAATTTTGAAATTTCTTTTTTTGGCGTTATTATAAATTGATCTCTTTTGTACTGTATTGTGAGTTAAAATTTCTTTAATCAAGGCTAAAAATTTTCTAGATTAACAGGAAATTACAGAATGGCTTTATAGAAGAATGAATAGGAAAATTAAATCTTTTATCCCTTCATTTTCTTCTAATTTGTTATTGTTATATTATATGTTTTACTATAATTTGTTAAAACTGATGGTGAATTATTTTAATGAAACGGAGAAACTACAGTACGTAGCCAGTGTACAGTGATTCAAGAAACTAAATTAAGATTGAAGATATTTTCTTTACTATATCGAGGTCGATTCATCGAACACAGAATACTAGACAAACAACTACACAGAATTTCAGGATATAATGAAGAAGACAACTCAGTGATCAATGGAAAAGTGGAAAAGTTTAAACGTAAAGACAGGGGATGCTAGATATTTTATATTCTATTAATTTCTCTGGTGAAATCAGTTCCCAGTTTGATTCAGAACCGAGTAGATCACCAGTTACACTGAGAACCTGACTTTCCCTGAGGAAATAGTGCTATCGGCGAAAGGTTTTTGATGCTGCATAGGAAGTGTTCTGTGGTGTTTATAAAACCTTTTCCAAAATGTGTTTTCCATAAAAAATTTTGAAACTGTTCGAATTGCTCTCCTTGGTTCGAATTGCTCTCCTTGGTTGGGCGCAGAACATAAATTAGCTCAATTATTCTCCCTCACTCTGTAATCTCCTGGTTAGTATTTAAGTGTTCATGAAACCCACCCACAAGTAATTTTAATTATGACGTTTTCTCCTCACATCCTTCACAAGCAGGATAAAAAACGTAAAGTAACTTGGCGTTTAGTTTGCTTCTTTTTCTACTATTTCAGTTAGAAAACATTGGTTGTAACCACTTAAGAAGAATGGGTGAGTTGTTTGACTTGGTGACTCGATACCAGATCAATCTAAAATTCTCTGATTTAAAATGATATCATATCTCAGTTATGATTTCCAAGTTTTCCTTTTCAGTTTCAAAACACAATATTCTTATATTTTACCTTTGCATTTATAAACACTATTGGTTGAGAAAAACTTTGAAGTAGCTTCACATGTGTTACGTTATTAATTTTTTGCGTCATTGACACTTGATTTCTAATGTTTTGTATTTAAAACTTGATTATTATGGGAATGATTTAAGTTTCAGGTTTTGGTTATTTTTGAAAACGTTGAGCGAAAGTACTGCCATGCAAGCAGTGCTGTCACTATGTTACTTCTGTGAAACTCATGGCCCCCGAGTTTTAATGACAACACAATCAATACCCGAAAATCTTCGGCAGGATTACTGCTTACCAACTACGGGTAAAGGATCATCAACATTTGTTTCTGCCAGTTAGTTTCCATTTTTCAATATCATTTTTTGTGCGAAAATGAACTTAAAAGGCATCAAGTACGACATAGACATCAATCATTCAAATGTCCACATAAGGTTTCACGTTCCATATAAATCCTTTCCAGCGTTTTAAGTGCTATAATAATTTTGTTTGTAAGAAAAAATGAGCAGTCTTTTTTAGAAAACATATGCACAGCCAAAATTGCATAACTTATACGAATAACATAACAAAGCTAAAATATAATTTCGCTGAACATTCGCATTTTTTTAGTGACGATTAAGTTCAGCGAACTTTCCGAACTTATGTAATAATGGAATGAAAAATGGGATTTTGAGCCTGTAGTAGCAGCCAGTTTTAGTCGATAATTTTATACCTCACATTTTTACGTATCAGTTGTGCAATCGAACCCTATCAGATAACATATCGTTCAGCAAACTGATATGAACGTCTAATTTTATCTAATTTAATTTCAATTTTTTTCAGAGAACTTTCGCGCTCATTTAACTGGCGAGCCACGTTGTGTCGCTTGTACATCGTTCGTTGATGGCACAGGTCTAATTACGGATGATGTTGAAGCCAGAATAAGTTATATTACTACACAGGTATTAGATAAATTTCTCGAATGCATCGTGAGTATCTGTTTCCCCTAGAAAATTCTATCTACATTTCCGTGTTTTCTGCCTTTTATCGTCCTTTAAGATAATTACTGGAAGAAGAGGGATTCAAATGTAATAGATTTTCTGTCAAAGTTCTTAAGTTATGTAAAAAATTACATGTGTTAATCAGTTAGTAAAAAGTTCTGAAAATTTAAATTTAATTTTCCATACCAACTTATAGGTTTCGGAAAAATCGTTTAATTCTTGTTATGTTCTTTACTTGGTTTTCGCGAATGCTTTTCAACCATATTTCAGGTTGCGTTAAATGATCGAGTGTCTCAGTTGGTAAAGTATTCATGTCTTCATTCATTAAGTTGTGAAGTAACAACTACTCCGAAGGACAATGTGCCTAAACTAAGTCCGATGAAATCTCGTGTTACACCGCAGGGTACAAAAAAATGGGAAAGTTCATGGGAGGAAGTAAATACGGAGGCTAAGGATGGTGTAATTTTATTTGGAGATGATGAGCATGGCTATACATTGTCGTATACGTTTAGGTTGATTATTATATCAGTCATCTTTGATCTATGTAAAGAGAAATGTCATTTTTGTAAATTTTGATTTTGAAGCGTAGCAATGTTTCTTTTCATTAGTTTGAATTTTACTTTATGTGCATACTTCCTTTTATGTGCATAAGAATTATTTCTTATTACATATGCACGGATTGGTTTGACACAGCATATCGCTTTGAGTAATGAATGAGACATAATACTGAAATACCTTATATTTCCGAAATCAGTTTTAGTAACGAGGTAGATTATTGTTGGTTACATTTCTTACTCAATAAAATTTCAAATCTAACCTATCCTCGTGATGTTTTTCTTATGTAAAGGATTTATTTCTTTAATTTTTCATCTGTAATTTCAGGTTACGTGATTACAAAGCACGTGGCTTTTTACGTTTTTTCTCGTTTATCCTTGTATCCATAGACAAATTATTCATCACGAGCAATTATCACTTTTTTGTTTCAACAATGTCATCTACCATTCGGTTTTTGCAGGTTAATACTATGTTAAATAATAAATCTGCAAGTCACAAACTTACTCTTAAGTTATTTATTTTGGGTCATTTTTGGCGAGTGAAAGATTATAAGAGAGAATAGATGGCTAGATGATTTAAGGAATTCCATATACAGTAGAATCCGATATTCAAATTCTGCTTTGAAAGAATTCATTGTATTGAATTACTGAATAGTAATAGTTTTTATATCACTATTCCTTTTTTAATCTTTTTTTAAAATTTCTCAATTATAAAAGATTTTAGATGGAATCGAACATGGTTTTTGACCGTGAACAAAGTGACCCATCTAGTGAAATGCTAAAGCAAGCTGCAGCATCACGTGCCTCACTGTTGCCGGCACACTTTTTGCGTGCTCATGTTGCCAAGCTTGAATTGGATACGTCACGAAGTTTGGCGATAATCACCGGCCGCGCAGATATTTTTACACAATTGCACATGTAAAGCTTTGTTTTGATTCTAATTTTTTTTCTTTTTTTTGGCGTATGATTAGTGGACCTGAAACAGCCGCACTAATTAAATTGCGGCCCCGTATCAAATCAACATTTTCTCAAATTCTCAAATTCAATTCTCATTTTCTCAAAAATTTTCTCGAAGTCGATTCTCAAATTATCTATCTGCCGTATAACCGTTTCATCTACTAGTGATTATAACATCACGTTTTTGACTTTACCTGTCATATCTATATGATGCTATTTTGGACTATCACATCTCTTCGATCTGTAAATGATGTTCTATTACTCTTTTTAAACAGTGTTGGCTCTGTTCGACAATCTTCGTTATGTAATTTTTAGGTTTATGGTTTGTATTTTGCGTACACAAACACGTCTTTGTAAAGAATATCTATTGGAAGGAGTGCCAACGCAGGATATGCTTGTAATGAAAGAACGTGAGCTAAAAGTTGATAACAGGACAAATGCTAACGATATAAGTTACTCAAGACGTTTGGATTGCTTTGAGACATTGAGACAAATTGCACACATACTCGAAAATTTACCGAAAGTTAATGGTCAAAGTGTTCTGGAAATTGTTTTGACACAATTGGTTACCGGCGGTCAGGTTAATTTGCATTTTATTTTATAGAAGGGATGAAGAACTGCTAGACTTATTTGTTGGATCATAATTTCCTGCTGATTAGTATAATATGGATAAGATATTTTTAGCGTTCAAAGTGATTTTTTTATATGAAATGTCTTTTTTTAGATTGTTCTAAAATGCCATAATGAAGCTGTAGCTAAACGTTTTCTGCTTGCACTTTCCAGTTTGTTGCCATTGGGTTGTGTTCGTATGTTATATGCAGAAGAATATCGACACGTCTTTGTGTAAGTGTTTAATGTAGCATTACAGTATGCCACGTTATTATTTATTTTTTTGCTGCAGTTTATTCAACTGTGGAAGTGATGCTTTACCAAAATATTTGCAGAATGCAAGAAAAGATGTTGTTAAAAGTTTTTCAGCGAAAAATTTAGGGGATTTTAATATCGTCTAGAGAAAATTATCCAGATCGAAGGACCTGTTAGAAGAAAAGTTTGTAAAAGGAGAAGGATGTATAACAAGTTTTAAGAAATAAATTTTTAATATTTCGAAGTCATATTACTTGCAGATCTAATTTATTTGGATGTCCTCAAGAGACCGAATTATCACCTGATGCAATTGATATTGTGGTTTTGTTAGTTAATGTACCATTTGGGAGAATCCATTCTAAGCAGCCAGCAGGTGAAGAACGAGAACACTGCTCGTTTTCTTCTGGAAGCTGTATTTCATCCCCCTTGAGCACGTCATCTAAGGATGATGATGTAAGATTACCGCGACTACTTTTTCATTGTATATTCGAGCTGTAGTAATGCTAATTCTCGATTACAGTTATTTATTTACTGAAAGGAGCTAACGATAGACTCTTTAAACGACCATAAACCTTTCCGTTTATTATGTTTAATATTTCGTTCATTATGTTTAATATATCTACTTTGGCAAACTTGATCTTTAGGGGTTGATATATTATCCTGTCCTGTTCGCGTGCTTTACTTTTTAAGAGTCGTATTTCCCATATCTCAATTGCCTGTTATTTTTCTGCTGAATTGGATAAAGAAAGGATTCTATAGTTTATTTCAAAGGTTAGCTATGTTCCTAATTGTATCAAATATATTGAGGTCGATGAAAATTCGGAGAAACATTTGATCGAAATCTTGCCTCCGAGGAAGTCCTTTGATTTCGAAGACTATACATTCACATTGGTTGCATACCCGAAATGTACGGCACCAAAATATGGTACACCTGCCATTGTTAATCGCTATAAACAGCTCATACTAGGTAGGCGCAAAAATTCTGATTTGTGCTATTAATTGCTACATTCGATAAAATGTAACTTTTCATTAGCAGTTGGATCTTATAAAGTTATAATGTTTCTGATAATTTTGAAACATTCACGGCTTTCTAATAGATATGAATAGTCTAGATTAACCACATATCTAGGATCAGTTGTTCAGAAATCCCCAGGATGAGATTAATGGATCCTATTTTCATGCCCTTGGCCTTCAGTTGACTTGCTATTAGGTTATTAGCGCTTTCACAAGTCGTTTTTAACAATTTCTTTCCCGTGAATTTTGTCACTTTATTGGAAATTTTAAAATTGCAGATGACGATCTTCCATGTCGTGTTCTGGCATCTGTCATCGGAAATACAAGGGAACAGTGGTTAAATAAAGCAAAATTAGTTTATCAACTGGGACGACAGAAAGAAAAAATAGATCTTAAGAAAGTTCTCCAAATTATGAGGTGTGAAAATCAGGTTTGTTTAATTAAAATTTTGAAAGAAATGACTAGATTAGAAATCAACGTTTTTTGAGAAACAGATTTTTGACGGTATAGTATACGAAACTTTGAGATTATCATAAGTCTTTCAAAGCAGGTTATGCGATTTAAAGAAAGGAAAAAATAAATGATATGGTATAAAAAAATTTTAATTTCTCAAATATTTTTCTTGAAATCATCTGTATTTGAAATAAGAGTTTAAAACAGCTTAAATGATTTCATGTCCGATATATTTAATAAAAGCAACTGTAATTTAATGTGCCTTTCAGGATGGAACAGTGTTATTATTTTTCCAAGCTGGCTTGTCGGATACATACAAACAACAAGTCATGGATGTTATCAAAAAAGGAGCCGCTTGAATTATAAGTGCCGAACGTTAAGTTATTGTCTCTTTACGGCCGTATGTTTACTAACTACTTATTTTATTTTGTTCATGTTTGATCCACCTCTGTAATTAATTTCCAAGAAAGTAAAATACGGGAGCTCTGTATGATTATGAGATACTGTACAGTGAAGTTTATATGATTTTGGAATACGTCTTTCATTTTGATTCCAGGACCTCTTTGTCAAATGTAAGTTTATAACTATTACTGCTGTTGCCATGTAATAGCGCAAAATAGAAAAGCTTTGTAACAAAAATTTATAAAAATTATTTTTCTAACATGTTATAAGCGGTGCAACTATGCTTAGATATTTAAAAACTTGAATCTCAAAAAGATTAGAATTTTGCAAGTTCAAACTGTATTGAGTGGCTTGAAATTTCGTTGTGGATAATCTAGATAGTTGTCTCATTGCCCTGGCATGATAAATTTCCCCAACTCCTTTATCTACTCAAATCTGAATGTTTTGACCTTCAGGGCGGTTTTCTCTTTTATTTTTAAACATGTTAATTTTCTCTGTAAACTGTCCTTCGCTTGTCAATTTTTTGTCCTGGAGCTTGATAGCGTGTTATGATACCAAATGTTTGCCATTTTTGTTTTCTTCCTCTTTCTCTTTTCTTCCTTTTTTATATGTTATTACGGGTTCTGACAAATATAGATATGGTTTTAATCTCGTATCTTGCCATCATTTTTTGCTTTTTTTCTTGAATTATTTGTTGTCCTTCTGTTTATTTCTGTAGCATATATATTGATAGTTTGGAGTTATAAAGGTTTCTACATATCTTGTTATCCAATCGATATAAATAAACAGATCCCCGAATACAACACTCGCGTTTGAAATTTTTAAAATTTAAACATAAAAATTAGTGGAAATTCTTAGCAAAAAAATCATATTGGAAGTTTAGTATATCGAAGGCAAATATCGTGCATTATTAATTTCTGAGACAAGTTTTGAAGGTAAGTACTGAATTTTAATCAAAACTAATTCAATCGCATATCGAATAAACAGACAATTGAAATTAACTAGATTAAGAATTGCTCAAATACTGCAAAAATCACCTCTTTCATTTTCTTTTTCGCCTGTTTTAAATGTATGTATAACAATCATTTTCCACTATTTATAGTGCAGCAATTAATATACATACCCTTATTAGCTAATATTTTGCAGAAAAATTATGGAAATTTCAGACAGATAAGTGAAACACTTAGAACTTTCGTAGAAATTACACATTTTTAATTGAATTTAATTATATGTTAGGGATCGTCGTCATTATATTGCATAACGATAACTTTGCACAGTGAAGATCATAATAGATGAAATATCAAAAGTTATTAAGATTAATTCCTATCAAAATCTCACCATTTAGCATAATTTGTGCTAGCAGCTGTGACTTTTTTCCTGTTGGACAAAAATCTATTAATGACAGTAAATGAATCTGTCATTAAGTAATGACTATTTATATAAATAACCCCTCGGACATGCGAAATCATTGTCATCACAATAGAGAAGTCTATCATTTGCAAATCTATGATATGGGTCTCTCTGCAAAGAAATGAAAAAATCAATAATTAGCATACGATTATATCCATAGTTGAAAGAGAGGAATTTATTGATCGATCAAAAAATCAATAATCAGTATGTTCCAAAATACGAGCATATCTATGCTGGGTAAAGAAGCATTAATCGATGTTAACAAATAAATGGGAAGAAAAAATACCTATTGTCGGGACAAATTTATGTCAACGTATTTTTTTCTTACAAAATGCATATTCATTTATTGAGGTTTGAGCATTTACAATTATCCGGACAATTTGCAGTTGATGAGTATGAAACCGGAACAGCACTAATCAAGAATGTTTCTCCGTGTAAACAATGCGTTGCTTCTTGAATGGATTCTGGACAACAGATATTATCGTTTGAACAATATGACTTTTTTTTATATTTTTGATCAAAATTTTGAAAATTGACAAATTAGCGAAGAGATCTGAAGTATAACTAATTCCCATGAAAAAACCCTTCTTGATTGAATTTTAAAAGGATTCACTATTCATGTTTACGATTCTTGGCATTCTTCGTCTGATCGACAGTCTAATGATTGTTTACAATGTTTGATCGAACTAAAATGTATTGTTGTTTAGCTGAATTACACTCTTCATCCAGTGTATGATTTTAGTATTCGTAAATGACGGCTGATAGGCATAATGCTTAAAACATGAAGCTCTTAATGTATTATTATTACTTTTAGTTCTAGTAGGATAATTCAAGAGACACTTTGAGTGACATTTATAAGTTTTACCATTTATATCTTTTGTGTGAAGAAATAATCATTGAGCTATCAGAATGTTCGATCCCATTTTAGCTTTCCTTTGTGTCTCATTAATTTTTAAGACTAATAGAATTTTACATAAAATCTTAAAGTATTTTCAGTTACCTTTCTTTAAAAGATATATTGATTGCAAATCTAAGCAGCTTAACGTATGGAAATAGATAAACCTAAGATTACAGATTATAAAATGAAATAAAAATATATTGATGAAGTAATTTGCAACTTGAGGTTTTCAAATATTCAAGTAAGTCAATAATTCAAGATATGACTTTTACATTACCTCATAACAAACATTTCACGCATCCTCTGAACAATCTAATGGGTACCCATTCTAGTAATAAGCTATTTCATTCATAAAGCTTAAATAAATGACGAGGAAATTTTTGCTGCGAAACTTTCTGATTCTATCACTCATATCATTGATTATTGCAACAAGAGAGAATTTCCTGTCAAAGAACTCTTCGAACAGGGGAGCAAACGATTTGTCAATGGACTTTAAAGATAGTACTAGGAAATGAGTTCGGACATATTTGAAGAAATATCAATATGCTATCGATATCAGGAGGATTTTTTCGGTTCAAATATTTATCTTTTCCAAAGAAAAATCGGTCGATATTAAGCGGAATTTTGTAAAAATATAGTTCTTAGAATAACAACTATTAAAATCTAAACTTACTACCAAGGCATTTTAAAGAGTTCTCTTCATGGCTTATCTCTTGCGTTTTTTTGGCTTATATTCGCTACGTCACGTAGGTAGAGGCACGTATATGACGCCAAATATATGTATCTAAAAAAAGAAAGCGAGGCTTATTATACAAACGATACGAATAGAAGAAGAAAAAGAATATGTGAACTAAGTAGATGATACGTGAAAATATCTCGAGATATCAACTAATATTGTATGAAGGCACTCTGAAATTTCTGAACACTGCAAGGGATATACTGAATATTAATTATGTGAGGATATTCTGGAAATCCGGAAAAGAAATCTTACCCTCAACAAGCACATTCTTCGTAATCTTGGTTAAAAATTCGGAAAAGTGCTTTTATTTTATTTCAAAATTTTATTATTGCCAAATCGCTCGCATGGGCAAGACAAAAATCTTTTAAAATGGTTGTATGCAAATGCACGTACTCATTTTAGTTAATGTGTCTGTTACGATTTAAGCGGTGTTTCTAGCGGTTCTGTGAGATTTCTCTTGATAGTAACATGGAAAAATGCGTTGATAGTTGTTTTTGACGTGTTATTTCACTGCTAACAAGAAACCATCTGAATTATAGGACATTTGTTGGGAATTTCCTGAATTTATTCTCGGAAGTTCGAAATTTTTCGGATGTTTAAAATTCCTCTTCCTCCACTCTTTCCTTGTGTTTTCTTCTTCGAATTTAATTTAATTCCATTTTTTGCACTTTCTTCATAACATTAACAAATTTCAAAATGTTCGTCCTCAAATTTAAAAATGATTACTTGAATGTGAAAAATCTGAGATGTTTAGAGTATCAATTCTCAAAGTTCGCAGTACCTGTCCTGAAAGTAGTATGTGAACAAACTTGAATGTCCTCATTCCTAAAAATCGGAAATTTCGAAATAATTTCCTGAAAGTTCGAAATTTCATATCTGTATTATTCGAGATTTTGTTTTGTCAGTCCGAGAATTCTTCAATGATAGATTTTTGTTATAATTGTCCTAAAAAATAATACTACGCTATACGTATTGTAATCGTGACTTTGCAATATCGCTTCCAAGATATCAAATTTTCCCACTGTTTTATGTACTGCTCGGCATCCGCCAAATCTATTTCAAATAAAAGTGATGTCACATTATATCTTTATCCTTGTCACATCGAGGTGATGAATACCACAGGATGAAGGAGAATTTATCGATTTTATTTACTGTCAGGAATTTATGAATTGAGCCGATTTCTTTCCCTTATTTTCAGACCATCATATGCAACGGATGTTGACCTCTCAAATTGATAACGAGCAAGTACCAGTACTAGCTCAGATCTACGATATACGCCGTATCAACAGCGATCCAGCGGAAATATCGAGGAATGCAACTGACGACCGAAATAGTTTTATGGTAAGAAATATTTGTGGATTATTGGTTGCACTTGCACTCGGATTTGCAAAGAATAGTTGAAAAATTGTTGTAATATTACTTCGTCGATGATGACAATGATAATGATGATAAAAGCAGGGATTTTTTACAAGGAATGAGGTAACATTTTTTAAATCATAACTTTAATTTGATAGCAATCAGTAAGGAAAATTCGAGATTCATAAGGCTGATAAAAAGGAAAATTGACCCATACATGAAATTGCACTCAGATTAGTTTATTGTTTATGTTGAAAATAGATGAATCATGTTCTTGAAATTGCTTATATGATTAACGTTCCTAAACTGAAATTTAATATATGTTGAGCAGCTCAATCTTTTTCGTTGAGCGATTCTTTTACCATGCAGATAGCAAAATTCATGGAGAATTCTTAAGCAAATTCAAATATCAAATGAGTCAATCAAATGCTGGAATTTTTGAAGAGATCAACCAAAAGGCAAGACAACAAAGTGAATAGATGCAGATAAGGACAGGCATACGAATTTGAAGTCTAACAATTATTTGACAGGTTTCCCAGCAATCATTGCATAGTTGTACCAACTCAAAGGATATTGGATTGCTAAGGAGATGGAAAGCTGGAACCGCACACAGGAATCATCGTAGGCCAGAAAAATATCGATTCTTCAGAATCAGGAAGTGTCCTGGGGGCAATTTATTTTTGGAAGTAGTCAGATTTATAGTAGGATAATGTCCAGCTCAAGTTAATCAAAAAAAATCATACAAAATACATTACAAAAAAATATTATCCGAAATAGCACAATAACTTCCAGGAGTTCTACGAGCAGGCAGCGCAAAAATTCTCATTAAAATGAATTCACATTTTCTCTTCATGCGATGAGAATATATTGCTTAAAAAAACAAAAGAACTGTGAAACCCTGTAGCAATAATGTTTATAAAGAGTAAGGATTGAATAAGAATTAATTAATCAAGGAAACTATTACCCAACGAACAATTGCTGTTTTGGCATTAGTTCATTAAATTTCAGTAATTTGTCTCGTATTTCACTCTATGCGCATTTACCCTCCTGTTCTGTAAAAAATATTTCCGAAAATAGAAGTACCGCTGACGGCGATTTTCGGTAATGAACACGAAATAATTTGGTAGACTTAATCCGAGCAAAAATTTGTTTCCCTCTGATGAGTATAAAATCAGACTTTAAAAGCTTAAAGCACTTTCTCATCATATTCGTTCTTGGAAATTATATTACAGTACTCTTCAAGTATATTTTCGGACTCGGTATTTACGAGATTGAGAGACATTATTGAAACAAAATTCCTCTATTGCTAAATAATATTATGATGCATTCTGAATGATTTTAAATTGATTGAATTGATACGATGGCTGTAAATATCATCAATTTCTCTATTTCATCAATTTTAGTCCGAAAATACCGAGAAGGATCGAATCACAAATTTTTTTGCTGTTCGTAAGCGTCGAACTAGTGAAGAAAGTAACTGTTCGTTAAACGAAAAAAAAACGAAAGCGTACGGAACACTGGATGCCATTAAGATTTCTTCCAGTCGACTGGTCCCATGCTACGATTTCTTCGACGATAAAGAAAATGGTATAATGATCATGAATTCCTCAATCAAGCAAAATTTAGTATCACAATTTTTGCATATATATATATATATATATATATATATATAATCAACTTCTCATCATATTTTGCTGAAGAATGATAGATTAGGGATGTTAATAGCTTTAATTATTAAAAGCCACTCTGTGCTTTTCTGGTGAACAAGTAATTACGAGAGTTGTTAGGTCTTATCTCATATTGTAATACGTTGTAATAGCCCATTTATAACGCCGTGTGTGGGTTATGCAATGTAATGCAGGATCAAGTAACTGTTTTACGTCTCTCTATGTAAAATAAAAATTCATTTAAATCCGAGGACGGTTAATCTAACCTAGGAAATTGCGATTATTACGAAAAGTTGGAAAGCATAGGAATGATTATAGGAAATGAAAACTTTTAGCACTGAATGTAGAACATGTGGTACCGTATGCCATTTCGAATACAGCGCTTGGAATTTTTCAAATGCTTCCACCCGAATTACTCTATGTAATCTTTGATCGAATTCCAGGTTTCTTACTTTGCTGTTTTGTTTTATATAAAATTTTCAAGAATTCAAAATATAAAAAAAGAAAATTGTTTTTATACTAACTATAATATTGATCTGCATGACCGAAATTTATTTTCTACTGAACATAATTAACTGCAAGTTTTTTTTACAAACAGGGCTCCAATTTCAGTACTGCAGTTAAAGCAGCTTAGTCTTTCGTCCAGTACGCTGAATACCAAAATCCGTGAATACATATCAATGGCTGGTACACGCCGACGATTTTTCGCTGAAACGGCTGCAGTATACTGTGTTGATTTTGAAAGTGCACAAGATCCATTTTATGCTTGGGGTTAGTTCAGCTTGAGTTTTAAGTGGATATGATGTTTTTATTGATGAATTCGTTATGCAAGTACTGTAAGGCCAGTCGAAAACCGCCATTGTTTCATACGGTCGCAACAATGTTGTCCAGTTGGATTCGAACATTTTTAGAATCGTTATTAGACTTGTTATAGTTTGGAATAAATATAAGTAATATTCAGCTCTTTCAGGTATGCTTCTAAAAGCTTGCAGCATCGTAATGAGCTTTCGCGGCGGCCACATTTTCTTGGCAAAATTCTTCAACAAGGTTAAAACAGTATAGATAATTCATGTCGTCTTATAATTTTTATAATTACTGATTTTTAAAATACTTGATTTTCCAGAATAAAAATGTCGAAAACTGGTACGGTTGGGGTCGATGTTTTATGGCGGTAAGTTTAAACCAGAATTTTTTTTATTTTTTTATCTTCCTTTTTCCATGATGTTAAAGATAATGAATGGTATGTGTATGAAAAGCAAGCAAGTCTAAAATGTGTGTTAAGTCGAATTCATATAAAAAATTTTAGTTTTTTCTCTATATTGGTTTTTAAAGCCAACAGCTGTTTTTTTTAGTTTTGCAAAGGGTGGACGTACAATGAATGTGAAGAACTATTCAAGGCAGTAATGCGATTTACTGGCTTAAATGGGATTCTCAGCCGTGCTATGTCAAGAAAAGTCAAAAACTACCCTCACTTGGAAATAGAGGTAATAATCGCAAAACTTTCACTTCAGCTCAGTTTTTCAATCAATTTCTAGGTCCGAGTACGCCTCCGAAGTTTCTTCCTGAGCCATTGTGAGAAAAATGACGAGTGCTATGGATTCTGGATTTCTGTTATTTTGCGCACTCAAAAGACTATTGCTCAACAAGGACAATTATTTATGATAATATTTGGACCTTTAAAGCTGGATGAAGACAACTGCGGTAAGGAATGACTTGTGCAATCTTAACGAAGTTTTTGGCTTTTGAAGACAACAAAGTTTTCGAGGGATTAACAAGATTCATGTTTACAATTTGAAGATAGTATATCACTTCCACTTATTCAGATATCATTGACTGGGAGCTGTTAAGTAATACTACAATTGAAGACCGCCGTCTGTGTGAGGAAATAATCGGTCCTATGGCCTTCAGTGTCCATTGTATGGTTACTAATGGAAATTTAAGGGAATATGCATGGAGTGATTACCATATATTCAATTTGATCGAAGAAATTACAAGTAAATAATTTGAAATCTCGAGGAATTGAAATTGTGTTTGCTTAAATTATAAAATTTACTGATTAATATCAAGTAATGATATTTAAAAGAAAAAGATTGTTTGGTATGTTTCAAATGACATACCGTAGTGAAAGTGGCAAAGACGAAGCTTCAGAAGAAGCGGAATGTAATCTAAGATAGATAAGAATGACATGCTGTAAACTGATGTTCAGTGGTTTCATTATAACATGAATAACTATAACATCGAAGGCGAATGATTTAGATAATCCGAACTATCGCAGATCTTTTTATTTGTATCTCAAATTAATGTGCTATCGTTACTATATCATTCTATTAAGATTATTCCAAATTGCATTTAATAACATATTATTATTAAATTTAAGCTACCGTCAAGCATAAATCTTATTAAACCATCATTAAAATTCGAAGTTTTTTGAGCGGCTCCACATTCCTGGACTCTTGATAACTTTGCTGCGCTTTTGGCTCTCCGACCAAAACTTATCCATATTGCATTGCATGCTCGAATAATACATGGTCATCAAGAAGAAGCAGCACATCTCTTTCATGCCATAAATTCGGTATATTTATGTACAAAATTTTCTAGCAACCTCTCGAACAGAAGCTATTAAAAGGCATTAGATTATTCGCTTTTCTGAATAAGTATCTAATGATAATCTTAGATATTTAATTGTATCACTGTAGGCATCAAAGGAAGAATAGTTTTGGTTTGGGTCATCTAATTTTTCAAGAGAGTCGGATGCTTATCAATTCAAGATCTGAGAAACGTTGTTTTCTTGCCACATAATACAAAAACACGGTTCAGTATTTTTTCAGAGCCTCTAAAGTTTTGTGAATCTTGTTAAATTTAGGTTTTGCACCAGTGGGGTATTTTCTCGAGCACAGCAGTGACAGGTGTATTATTGAAGACATTTCGAGCCTTATCTGATATTCGTCGTCGTCTTTTTTTATCTTCTTTCTTGAGGACTGAATCGGAGCTACTGAGCGATGCCCTAATGAATGAACCTTGTGAGTATTTCTATTTATTTTGAATCAATAACAGGAAGTATAGCACTAGCAGTGAAATTATTCTGAAAAGTATGAGAATAAAATTAACAGTAGCAAACGACATTAGCACTTTTTGCTTTTTTTTAATCGACTTATTCGGTTAAACATAGTTTCTATAGTCGACCGTGATTATTTTTATATGGAATTGGCTGTTGGACGCGCCGTATCGCCCTTAGTGACACTGATGGCATCAAATGTATGAAGTAAAAATTTCACTCAGGTTTAAATTTGTTAATCATTATGTTGCGCTTTTTAATGATATTATGGTTAATTTTATTATGTTTTTTTGGTAGCTTTTAAGGTATTACGTGGCGTAGTTTATTTTTCACTGTGATGAAATTTTATCCTTTAACTTTTCAATCCACTCACAGTTTTTGACATTCGTTTGAAATTTGCATATAATTTCAAACTATTGCCAAATTGAGTGTAGATCGGATTACTGGTTGCATAACGATAAGGGTTAAAAAACAAAAACATCGGGATAAAGGAAAGGAAAAAGGTTTTGTCATTTTTGAAACAACAATTATATTGTTGAAAAGGAAAACGATGCATTGCATTATTTGTCTAAATCCAATTTCTTTTTAAATAGTTAATTCAGTTTAGGTTTCTTTGTCACATCAATTACATTCTACGTTTATTTTATATGATTGAAAATACTTTTTTTTAGCCTGATCTGTATTTGTGAATTAACTTGTTTATTTTTTATAAATTATTTCCGGTTTGAGATGGCTGCTTAAAATATTCGTTATTATTACTATTATCTGAAGTCAACCCATAATCAGCTCTTGCCAATGCGTTATTTCGCACTGAATTTCAATTTATATATTTTTCTCATTAGTTCTCCCTGGTTTGCCAGTTACTACTTTACAGTCATTATACGGAAAACCATATTGCTTCCCAAACTTACCTGAAAAGGAAGGAAGCAACACTTACTTATTCTGCCATGAGGAACAAAGACGTGGATGATAAGTATTTGGAAGAAAATGAAGTTTAGAAAAATTAGTTTTTTGGATCTAAATCATGATTCATTGGCTCTACATTTGCTGTAACAAATTCAGTTCTACTTTTTATTTGTTTCCGATAGTCTTCGAATGCCTGGAGACAAAACCCAAACAAAACGATTTTCGTCCGTTAGAATAATTATTGTCATAGAAATATTGAGCATAATTACTATCATAGAAAAATCTGCATATCTTACTAGTTGTTTTTATCCTAGTGCTGCAAATTTTGAATTTGAAATTTTTCAGGTTTCCAAGTAAAAAAACTGCCAAAAACAAGTCTTTCGGAAATCAAAAAATTTCAAGGATTTGCATTAGTAGGTTTAAAAGAAAAAAGAATATTGAAGAATATTTAGGTATAAATTCAAAAGGTTTAAGTATAAATTTTTTGAATGTAAAAAATTAGTGTGGTGAAACAACATCGCATAGTATGAAATTGTTTTGCCATATAATATATTAAAATTACTGAGATTGACACAAAATTTATCACTATTGGCTGATAATAAAGCATGGAATAATGAAAAAGTATGTTTGAATTTATAATCTGCTATATATAATATAAGCTGGTGATGTCATCTGTATTAAAGAAAATGGGCGATATTTGTTTCGTTCCAAAAAAAGCGATGACCGTATTGTTCGTAGTCACATAAGTGAAACGAATGGAAGAAAAGTAATAAATACTCGGAAGTTGATTTAATATAGAAGAAACTCAATTAAAATCATTAACTAAAGATTAATGGAAAAAGAAAAACATTGATGAAAGTCATCAAAATAAGTTAAAGAAACGGAACACCGTTACCTTTCCGTCTAACAACTAAGATCAGATCATCCAAAAGCATAACATAACATTAACAACTATAACTTTTTAGTGAAATAACTATTTCAAATTATAAAATTAAATACGAATCGATATCCAACAAATACAATAAATTTAATGAAAAGTTTAAAGTTAAAATAGAAATGAAATTTCTTCTATTAAGTCATCCATCAGTCTTATTACAAATAAAACGTGTCCCTTCTTCGAAAAGCTTTATAGAAAAATGGGTCACTCAAGTAGGCTAGAAAAATGGCTCTAATTAGAATAACGAAGTTTGCGATTTCAAATCATACATATGATGTTACGTTTTATGCAATTGAAATAATAAACATTATCTATCAAAAAGAAAAAGAGCTGAAAAAAAGAATTAAATCCTTGAAATAATCTTTTAATGTGTCATACTAAGTTGACAACATATCTTATTACTTTAATAACATAATTTTATAAAGGCTGCAGAAGTATGATATATTAGCGAGTCGGAAAATTTTATGGAAGTGAAAATTCATAAATTATTAAAGAGACTATCAAAAATAAAATAGAATATGGTAAGAATGAAATGATTTTATTAAATATAATTCATAAATAAATATTTTGCTTAATAAGACTCATTGATATTTAAACTAAATATAAAAGAGTGAAAATAAACGAATAATTATTGTTAACAATAATTTTCCCAATCGATCATTCTACCGTGTAAATGGTTTCTGTGTCTTAATTTGCCTGATATTCTTATTTTTTCTTCCTGAAATAAAATAAAGTAAAAAGAATTGTTGACAGTTAAAAGTAAAGGCAAATGAAAATATGATTAAAATTGCAAAATTATAAAAATAATATTTAACTTTTCATTCATTTCATTTATTCAAATTTATGAATTTTCAGATGTGAAGTGTGAAGATAAATATAAAATGAAATTATAAGCATTTACTGAATATTGAATGCATTATATTTATATAAAATGGCAAACTTTTGCTCCTCTCCATAAATATTGCATAAAAATTCGTTTTTCGAAGCCAGAACTTCAGTTGCATCTGAAATTATGCAACTGAATTATGAAATTATACAAAGGCACTGGATTTAATTATGATAAAATATTAAAGTTTAAATTAAAATTAGACATCTGTGAAGTAAAAGAAATAAAATAAATTTTTGTAAATCGGTATAAAACTAGTATTAATAAAATTTTAATCATAGTTATTTCTCTTTCATTTCAAAAGTCATTAAAGATATCGAAAAAGTTGTATTTCAAAAAAAACGCCAAAGTGGCCTGATTTCAAATTTTGAAAAAAGATCTAGTGTGCCCTTACTTTCCGTAACTGGGCTAATAGAACTTGTAATCCAATGAAAAACTGATATATATCTTCCATATATTCGAGATACTCTAAAATTAATTACAAATCCAGTATTGGAACTAATTAATAATAATTACGAATATTACAAATTTGAGTTTTTTTAATAAAAAAACAAAAGAACAAAAGCAGAAACAATGAAATTTTCACATCTAATTAAGACTAACTAAAGACACTACTACTCTATGAAACTAATAGTTTCATAATAATTTTCAGTAAAAATCTCTGTTCTAATCAATTTTTACACTTGAAAAATTTCAAGTCAGTTCTTTAATAAGCAAATTTCTACACAAAAATGTTTTTGATCAAATTTGAATAAAATTAGGGAAGAATAAAAATGCATGAACCGGAATATTTGTTCTAATGGAATTGGTCTAATATTATTAGTATTCGATCTCTTCAGAAATATGCACAATGCAGTTTACTGCAGCAAAGCAATCCATCAACCTGAATGAATAATAAAAATTTCTATTAATTTAAAATTAATTTTGAAAAAATTTATAAGCGTTTCAAATGAAATCTTTCCTCAGTCCAAACATACTTCATAAAATGTTTTCAGCTCTTCGATAAGTGATGGAAAACTCTAACGTTTCTTTGTTTTCATTATTTCTCACACTTCGAATTTTTAATTATTTGTTCCAGTTATTGACTAATTTAGCTAGCAATAAAATAAAACAATCTCTTGTCTTAGAAATCTTAATTCAACAAAGTCTTAGGAGCTTGCCCTAGAAAGTTGCAATAACTTATCAATTGAATTTACATGAATCTTTAACAAACCTAAGCCTTTTTTTGGAAAAGTTACAAACGGACAACACAAAATGCTGGAAGAAACAATTAACAGTTAAGAAACAAATTTGTTAATCTCAAATTTAATAAATAAATTTAGCTTCTTTGTTCTCTTATATTATTAATTAATTTTTCCTCTTTCAAAGAGCACTTTTCAATTTTCACATTTAAATTCATTAACATATAAACTTCTTAATAAATACACAATACGTTTTATAAAACAAAATATAATATATCTTTGTACAATTTCAAAATATTACATCAATAAATTCAGCATATTTTCTGTTTTCTATATCGTTGATCAATTTTTCTCTTTCAAAAGACATTTTAATTTATAGAAAATAATAATTAATTATAGGATAAATAATTTAATTTTATACATTTTGACTTGTAAATAACCTTTGAATGACTTAATTCTTTGCATAATTAATTCATTGCTTAAGTAAAGATTAAAAAAAGGAACAAATACTTACAGAAATATTGAGAATGTAAGATAACGTCAATATATTATCGCAAATAGTATTATATATCATTCGAAACATTTTTTAAAACAATACTAATCAAATGATATAAATAATTTATTTAAGTTTTCATCACTTCAAAAATTATGATTTAAGATATTCAAATACATTGAAATTTGGAAGGGATTAAATTAATTCATAAATTTGAGAGAAAGTCTATGATCGAATGTATTTTATCCGTTGATATTTTACCCGTTTAATAAGGTTAAAAACAAATTACGATAATGTACTTTCTGTTATCCAATTTCATTTTTTGTTTGTATAAAATTTATTATATTATTTGTTTCGTTTTACCATCAAAATTCTAACTAACAAATGCTTTGGTGGATTATAACATTTTTTTCAAACAAACATTTCAGCCAATATTTAAATGGAATCATAAAAGAATTACTATATACAAAATATTCGAAACCCTGCAAACAAAATCAAATTATTGTTATTTGAGCATCAGTAAAAACTGTTGTAGTCCATCAAAAATGTATGATAGTACCCAAACAATTATATAATAATAGTTCGAATTATTATATTCCAATAATAATATCTTCTGAAGCTTTGCACAGTTATTAAATTGCGGTTAATTTAGTCGTTCTAATAATAAAGAGCCGAGATCAATCACTTCTATATTAAACAATTTTCCTGCAGTATGGAAATGAGTCATTGGTTGTTGGAATATACCAAATTTCTCTAGCAAAAAGAGGGTATCACTCGCGATAAGTGATAATCATAAATTGTAATATATACAAGACGGATGATCCGTAGGTCACTCAGAAGAAAGTGCGTTCTTCACCAGTTGTTTCCTTCTTTCAACTTTCCTCCAATGATTGCATTTCTAATCATTGCATCTACTTTTCAATAATTGATTTAATTAATTTTTCAAAATACTTTTATCATGAATTTGCAGATTTCATTCATTAAATATCTGATCATCCATTATGAGAAAATATTTTAGTAACATGGAATCATTAAAGCATTTTTCGCCTTTCTGAAAAAATATTATTCGAAGCAAGTTTCATGGATGTTTTGTTGGTTTCAGGTCTAAGAAGTCTTGCAGGATCTCGATTAAATTCGTGTTTCACGCGCTCTTTATCTCTTTGTTTCGCATTATGCCAAATATGTTGCACAAATATCCGTTTTTGAAAATCATTATTTTCCGCATCATTTTCATTCACTCGATCGAGCAACGTGACAATACGACGAAACGACGGACATGTTTTCCAGAAACTGTAAATTTGTGTTACGACGTACACCTGTGTTAGTGGTATCGTATCACGATGAAAACCACTAATAGAAGATACCGAACGAGGTGGTATAGAATTGATTGACTGGGATTGATGTATCGGAGTGGTTCGAATTGAATGTAATGTGCTGAATATTTGTCTTTGGGAACCAATAACTTTCACAGCGATAATTTTCCCTTTAGCTTTAATGCAATTGACCCGATGAAAGCTGCGTAAATCGTTAGAATAAAAGTACTGCGTGCGACGACTCGTGTGGCTCCAATGAATATCATCGTGCAATATTGTATCTGATCCGATCGTTTCGCCATCGATCACAAAGCAATAGTTATTATCAACTACTGATGGTGGAAGTTTATGACTGATAATAGATTCCGGAGCATTAAACAGATTTTGTAAAACATTTTCCATTTCTACCGTCTTTTGATGTAGACTATGGATTGGAATATTTTGATAGTAGATAATTGGTTGTTGAACATCCTCTTCAGGTAATATTTTCGATATGGTATTAGTCGATTCCACTAATTCACAAGTGTCTAGATCAAGCTTAGAGGGTCGTATAGTTTGCGTACTACGACCGGTAGATGATAATATTGACGACGATGGTTGCGATAATTTTGAAAAAGATCCATATTTATCGCTGAAAACATTTATGCTATCTTAAATATCAAATTTCAATGTAAAAGACAACTTTCAAATTGCTAACATACTATCATTATAATGAAAAAAGTGAAGAAAAGAACAGGACAAAGATTTTACTTCTGTTAATAATAGTTTGACCTATTTTATATTCTAATTTTCCAATTTTATCTTTTGAAAAATAACATTTTTTCCGCCTAATAATTAAAATTACTTACTAATTATATTTAAAACAAAAAGACAACTTAAGTTGTGATTTTTTTCCTTAAATTATATTTCAAAAAGGATAATAATTTGATAATATTGGTAAAAAATTTTTATAAATTATATTTTAAAAAAAGGACAATAAGTTGATAATGTTGGAAAAGAATTAAATATATACCTGAAAATATGCTTTAAAAATAAAAACATATAAAAGGACGTGAGGAGGCGGACACGGATAATACGTAATATTCACGTAATACTTTTTTCAATACAAGGAAATAAGTGTGAAAAAGTGAAATTAATAATGCAAAATAAATAATATCTGTATGAAGGTGAATATTTTTATGACTTACCTTTCTTTTTTTTTTCAAATTAAAACTTATAAATAATGAAATTATCATTAAACATTAAACATGACAGAATATAGTACTAATTAAAAATGAATTAAATGAATACCTAACAACTTGTTCATGTTCAATTGGATAGTCCTCATTTTCATATGTACCCATCGTTGAATCATTAAGAGACATTTCTGTGGCTCTGTTTTCTGGCCTAAAAAAATTTCTGTTTTTTTTTCTGATTAAAAACAAAGAAAGGTTGAGAAATTTGTTCTAAAACAAAAGGTTTATAAAAATTTTTAATCAAATTTTTGCTTTAAATTGAAAATTAATTTTCGAAATTTCCGAAAACTAACATAAAAAATCCTCACTTCTTTAAGAATCAAAAGTTATCGAATGAAAATCAATTAATTTAAACAATAAATGTCAATTACTATGTGACCTTTTACAATGAATAACTTACTTTGAGAACAATTTCTTTGTCTCATTCAGCATTCCGGCATATGAATCCTGCTCCATCATGCACGTTAATCCGGTAACCTATAAAAAAATGACTAGGAAAAGGTCAATTGAGCAATGAAATGCGAAGAAGCATTCATCCATTATCCGTCTAGAAATTACCAAAACAATCTATCGTTAAGAAGTGAGTCAATGAGCTAAACTATTGTTTCACATAGTTATGGATCATTGCCTCTAATGGAGTATCTTTTAAATATTTCAAAAATATTACTCTGCTTGATGGTGATACAAACGCAACGGATATTGACGACGAATTCATCGTCGGTAATTGTTGTTGCGATGAAGTTGATGGTTGCGATGATGGTGACGTCTGTGTCCTTGTAAAAATCGAAGAATTTGGTGCTGGAAATTCATCCTTACGACTCTATAGCAGTTGATAATCTTCTATATCATTCGTTAGAATTTGGAATCAATAATCTAATAATGAATTAAGAGGAAAGAAATCGAGTTAAATAAATGAATTAATGAGTAAATGAATGAATGAATTTTTCAGTAATATCACTCTCTGAAATACACTATGACTAATAGATTTACATAATAATTTACCGATTAATTTTGGATTCGGTAATCGTTCAGATGAAGAAGTTACAAAGAACCGCTCAATTGCAAATGATCGTTTGCGGGAATTTTTGTTGGTAATTCTTTCTAGTGATTTTGCTGTTGATAGTACTGATTGAATAAATGAATAATTTGAAAAATTTCTCTGTTGTTCTGAAATAAAGAACAAAAGATAAGAAAAAAACTAATTATGATAGAATAAATAGAATCCTTTGTTATCATATTAGTGAAATGAAATTAACAGAATTCATGAAATGGTTAGGATTCATGATGAACAAAATGAAGCATTAACTTCTCATTGATAAAAAAATAAAATAATGATAACTTGACCAGCTATTTCACTCGGATTCGTTTTATTAAGAAATTCATTCGATTCTATTTCCTCATTAAATACACTGAAAATAAATAAGTAAAAAAAAAATAATAATTAGCATTTGAGAAAGAGAAAAATGGATGGAAGTTATTAATTAATGTAAATAATTATTGTTAGGATTTTGAGCATATCACATAAAATTTATGAAAATGAAAAGTTCATATATTTAGTATATAAAAGTTTCATTCACTGAATGTCACACAATATTAGAAACTATTGAAATAAAATTTTAATTTATGAATACTAAAATAATACGCGATAGAACTTGTAGACATTACAGGGATTTCGACGAAGATGGCACACTTGCAGTTGCATGGAGTGTAATTGATGGATACTCAGTGCAAGAAAGCTTATGTACTTCCATACTGAAAATAATAAACTCACATTGTGATCAGAATATAATATATTCTATTGAAAAATTTAAACTTGTTTCAGTTTATATAAAATTATTAACAATTGAAGATTATAAATAATGACATCATTATATATTTATAAGTTGAATAAACTAATTGTATAATTAAATAATATTCATAATTTGAATTTGAAGTGATTTCATTTCAAATTCTTATTTATTTCACTTTGACTTAATTCTTTTTAGTAGGAAATTAGTAATTAACTTTTATTTTGATCGATTTAATTTTGAAGATTTGGAATTTCCTTCCAATAAAATGTAATATAAAATATTTACTTGGTATATTTTCATTCTAAATGGTTTTAATTAAAAGAATTTTAATCATTTCTCATCACAGAAATTTATTAATTAATGACAAATAAGTGGGAAAAATGCTAAAAGAGAAACAGTAATGATTAAATTCTAAATTGAATCGGCTAATTTATAATTTTAATTCCTTTTACTAATTCATCAAAATTATTCATACCACTGTAAACCACCGCTATTGCTATCATCACTGATATCATAATTGGCTGTAGTAGGTGTCTCCAATACATTATTGCATAAATGCCACCTTGATTCTTCTATTGACACAGTCCTTTAAATTGCAAAATTAATATGCTATAATAAAAAGAAAACATTTTTTAAATAATTATTTCAAAAGCTGGCATCATCAACTGATATTTTAATTTTTTTCTTTAGTGCTATTTCATAGAACATCTCCTTGTGATAATAGCAATTACCCTTCTTGAAGTTGCTTAAGAAATAGCTTTAAGAATTCATCATTCTGATCAACTGTTAATCCATCTTCAATCATTTCTTTTCGCTTGAGTAATTGTGCTATATCGGTATCGCGAAAGTTCCGACCAAAATAATGAAACTTCCGCTTGTATTGAATACCAACCAAATCACTGCACATTGTTGTCAGAACAAGGCCAAGTCCCAGGTATATCAACATAAGCAGTGCATATCTTTAAATGCATTGATAATACTTATGTTAATGAACATGAAATAAACTGATAGATTGATTATGCATAGCAAGAAATTCCTCATATCTGTTCAAATTTTTTGGGTTGATTCTTCAAATCCGGCTAGTTTTTCTGTTTTCCTTTTCCTTGAATGGAAGATTCCGGAAAATAGAATCGATGAACCATCTTAAAGGGTGGAATAGCTTCCTCTCGGCATATTTGAACTTTCTTGTTGCTTATAGATTTCAATATAATCAAAATAATCATTTATACTACATACTCGTGCGATCGCTTCGATTCTACCAATGCTGTATTCAGCGATTTTTTAAACTTTAAACCAAAAAACTTCAGATTATAAATATTTGAGTTTTTTGATTCGGAAAAAATTCTTTGAAAACAAATTGAGCAAAGAAAGTTAAAAGTTATTTTGTTTTCGAAATATTTTCATTTTGAAAATCATATTCAACAGCATGTCGATCTAATTCTGCAAGCCAATTTCATTAGCATTAATAATTATAAGCTTTGAAAATTTAGCTATTCCAGTAAAAGTTTCAATCACAAATAAAGCAAACATACTTTTCACTTTCAGGCACAAGATCACCAAATCCAATTGTAGTTATAGAAACAAAACCTAAAAGAGAAAGCAAGGAAGTTATTATACATTTTTCCCTTCCAACTTTGTAATTGCTAAACCTAACTTGATCATATACTTCCTATAGCGATTATATTTACCAAAAATAAGAAATGCGCGAAATAAATCGAAATACATTTTTTGATTATAAATGTATATTTTGCTTAATCATTATTTTGGAATAATGAAGTATTGAATTTTCGTCAGTATTATGTTTAACTTTGATAGTAAAATTAGAACGAACAATAGAAACTTCAAAGGAATTATTATAATGGTATAATTAAATAAATTTCATAAAAATGATATTTCAAACATCAAAATTTGTACTTACAAAAATAGAATGCGTCCATATAACTCCATGGTTCAAGCGAAGCAAATAGATAACCACCGAAGGCAATGTAAAACTGAAAAAGAAGGGAAATCGAGTAATTGATAACGAAAAGGAAAACGAAAGGAAAAGTATTGATAATATTAACAGTGGTTGATAATATAGCAATGTTATAATTTTTATTTTGTTTTGGGAGAGATTTGGTTGGCACAATCGAATAGTAGTGAAAGCTTAATTATTTGATGGGAAAGTTTGTTATTCTTGATGTTATAATATAATTATCAGAAAATGTTGTTAATTAAATCGATCATCAAGTTTGTCGTCTTTGTTAGTAGCTCAAAGGTGAGACTAATTTCTGTAGTAATTAAGACGCCATATATTCCTTTCGATTTTGTTGGTATTGTTTATAGTAATTTAGGCATTCAGTCATTTTGCTGGCGAAAGTAATAGTACTATGATAAATGAAGGTAATGTATACAAAAAATCATCTGGTCATTGATAGTAAGAAGAGGTTATTTGGTCATTTAACATATGTTATTGACAGTATTGGAATCGTACATAAAATGAATTAATCACACATATCCTCTGACTAAAACAATTTCATTAGCATAAATTTCAATAAAACAAAGAATATTGTAAATAATTTTATATTTTGAGATTATTTCAAGTTTCTGATAATTAATTATTTATTGGTTCTAATTTTTTGTTAATTATAATTAAATAACTAAAATATATTATTTAGTTTACTAAATGTCAAATTATTGTAAACTCTAAATGGTGACAGTTTTATAATATTCAAGCATTTTTAATTGACATATTAAATTTCACCCTACTTGTCATTTAGTCATAATAAAATGAAAGAAACCAAATAAATTGGATAAATAGGCAGTTTTAGACTAATTAATTATTAATTAAGCTTATGGTAAGGTTAAAAAAATTTCACATTATTACGTTTGAGGAGATTGTTTTCTACAAAAATTAATCAGAACATTCATTATTAATGTAAGAGTATCTGTCAACTAAATTAGAGAAAAGTGAAAGAAAGCGTAAACTATCAAAACAAATTCATAAATACATTTTAAATTACTCATCGGAAGTACTTGCAAAGACAACCAAACCACATTCTAATGACTAAAACATCCTGCCAGCTTTTTGTATACACTGTAAGTTTCACATCAAATAATTAACAAACACGTTGTTATTATAGAAAACTCTGATTTTAATTTTAACAAATCTTATTGTCATTCTAATTTAATAATTCCTTTATTACATTTTTAAGGTGACTGCAATTGCAATCATTTGGATCGCTAAAACAAAAGAAATGGAAGAAAAAAAAGCAAAGGACGTTATCTGAAATGGCTTAATATTTCGCTACAATCTGATAATAATGATAAAATGGAATTTTCAAAAACTAACGAGAGGTATAAAAAAAGCAAAAACTAAAGGCACTTCTATTCCATCCAGTTCATCATCCCAATTTGACAATTCCTTCATCGTTTTGTTCGACTTCTTTGATTTCAATTCTGCATTACCTAAAAGCATATTAAATGAAAAAGAATAAGGAAATTCTCAGTTCTAATCAATAATCCCACAAATTCAGTATGTTCAAGTTGTTATCAATTACTGCAAAAAAGTTCTCAGTTTTAGTTCAATCTCAATATTCCAAATAATGAAATTTCCAAAATATTACATTGAATGATTTTGTTAGTAATGAAATTGATATATTATGATAAGATATAAGTGTTATGTATATATAATCAAAATGATATAAATGACATATGACACATGATGGTATACTGTGAATATGCTATATTATTACAAATTAAAAGATAATTCAATTAATAAATTGCTTTCTAATTCACTTGAAAATATTTCATGATGATTATGATATATGTCGTAGTAACATTGTAATCAAATTTTAACTATATTTTAATTCATTGATTCTTTCTATTCCAAAGTAAATGTATAATAGTTTTCGAATAAGGAGAATGTAAAATGGAAAAGGAATAGCAAAGGGAATCAAAGAGGATATTTCCCTTTTATTATTTGAATATTAGTTTGAAAACTCTATGCGACTTATAATTTTATCGAAACTAAAAAATAGAAATTTACATAATTAAATTCCAATTATGCTATTCAAAACATATAAATAAAACAGTTAAATTTCAATGAATTGAGATTAAAATTTAATATTTTGAATTTATTGGTAAAAAAACAACGATATATAATCAAATAAGGAATGAAATTACATTTCAACGAAGGACAACATTTTTTCATCTTAGTATTAAGCCATACTACACATTCCGATAAAAATTTGCCGAGGTCACCAATCGTTATAATAGCCAGTGGTACACCAAATAATGTAAATATAATACAAGCAATTCGTCCATATGATGTTATCGGTACAACATTACCGTAGCCTAAAAGTTATACTTGAAATGCACCACATTTTCCGTTATTTATGAAAATCATTTGTTAGAAGAAAAATATAAGTAAGAGTATAGTATTGCTGTTATTTGTTTAAATCATAAAAATAACAGTACTATTAAAATATCAAAGATGGATCAGTGACGAGGCAATAATCTATTACGAATGTCTTTTCATTAAGATATACAATTTAGTAGATAGGAAAATACAGTTGGCTAGTTAATTTTAAGGTTGAAAAAAACAATGAATGCTAAATTATCAAATTCTCTTCTTCCATAAATTAATTCTTTAAAATCAAAAATGCATGATGATTTGTGAATAGTAGGATTACTTACCTATGGTAGCCATAGTTGTTGTTGCAAAAATTATAGCGTTACTTGCCGTCCATATTTTTTTGCTTCGAATCAATTTTGGTTGATGTTTCGATTTTCTTCTATAAAACGAGCTTACCTTTGTTTATAACACACAGCACACGGCGCTACATTTTAATGATATAACATTTATATCATTTAGAAAGTTATTTGCTCGACAATTCTATTTCTCAGCTGTCTGGTGAATTTTTCTTTAAATAATATTTATATTCAGTACATTAGAGCTTTATCAATAAAATCAAATAATATTGCTATCTTTTTAAATTACAGTTGGATGTGTACTCAGAATTGATCCTATGATATTATTTCACCTAAACAATTTGTTTACTTAGATAATTTTTAGATTTCCAAATTATAAGCGCTTTACTAATCCGAAACAACTGAGGAACCAAAATGTACCTTCTCACTTACTTATTAGTGCTGCGTTTATCGATATTCGTTTTGGAAATGCAAATATCTGCATATCTGCAATGAATTTGTTTTTATTCTTTTTGAAAATCACTTCATGACATTTTAACTTTGTTCAAAACAACTTTCGAAAAATTAAATTTAAATTTTTAGTATTGCATTATTGAATGAATTTTCATAGTAATAGAAGTATAACTTGCCTAACATAATGTTTCTTGAAAGCCTTATATAAATATTCATTAAAAATTTGAAGTTTCACATCGACTACGTGAGTCCAACTATCCATTTCAGTTCTTTTCAACTCTTTCCGTTTCATCCATAACATTTCAATGAACTCTTTGCGTAATTCGTCAATCTTTTGTATACCAATTTTCTTCAACTGTAATAAAAACATTCTAAAAGTAAGGCTAATCAAATTACTGTAAGCAGTGAAATATTTGTTTAAAATTTTATTGATTTTTATTGAAAATTTGAAAAATCAATCAAGCCTACTTTATAACTAAATTTTCAAAGAAAGAAGCATTTTGTAATGAAACCTTATCTTCATGTGATGATTCGAGACTATAGAAAATCCATGCGCCAGCTATTGCATACACACATGTTACAGCAACCAGGATAACATGTGGTAAAGCAAGTTTTGCATACTGAAAACTGTCAGAATTGTAAACTTTCATGTATCTCTCGAAAGCTATCTAACATATAGGAATAAATTATTGATTAGCAAATCAATTTCAAATAGTGAAAATTTCAATTTCTTAAATAAATATTAGCAATTCAAATGTAGGAAAAAGCACTAATCAATGTATAATTTTCATCCATTATATTCCTTTGAATTGATAAAATACCATATTTTTATTATCTTTAAGTAAATAAAGAAGAACGAATGATTTCGACCTGTCCAATAAGTTATTGTCTTATCGTTTACTCAAAATAACCTATTGGAAAACTTTTGATCCAATTTATTTGATACTAAAATGAAAAAATAAATTAGATATAGTTATCATCAAAATTCTTAATAATTTATGCTATTCATTTTTAAGTTATTGAATAAGTCAAAAAAAGAGAAAAATTGAATTATTGCCGAATAAGCCAAGAAAGATATATTCCAATATATGAAAATCTATGCAAGTAAATCATTTCATTTCGGTTGCAAATAATAATTCTTAGTTTATATTTGGATTTGGCTAATAAAATAATTAAATTATAAGTTTGCATGAAAAAATTTCTCATTATCTTATTAGTATATGAAAGGGATATTACTCAAAATTTACTTAATAAGTAATTAGTAATAATAAAAAAAATATTAATGATAATGGTTGGCAATAAAATTTAGCAAAAATCAGGCATATGTATATATTCACATTTAAATTTCATCATTTATGTTAGTATGTATTATATACTTCTGTTAAGTATCGTGAAAAATATCGTTTTATATATCTTATTATAATAATTTATATATATTTATATAATAATAACTTATAATAATTTATATGACGTTAATGATGAAATTTAAAATAATATATGTATATAGTTTGATTTTTGTTAAACGTTACTGTCAAACATTATCATTATATTTTTCTAGAAAATGCAAATATTAATTTTTTTTGAAATTCAAATTAACAGTTCGAAAATATTGTTAGCTTCAAAAGTTATGTATAATTTAAAATTAGAAAATTATACGTAGAAAACAAAGGATTGTATGAAATTCAAGAGAAAAAGAGAGATCAGCAACCAAACAATCAGTAAATTTCTCTAAGGAACTGAAACATTGAGTAAAAAACTAAAAAATATAACCAGGAATTTTTTGAAATTTAAATTAACAGTTCGAAATTGTAATATTAGAAAACTTAGAAGCATTAATGCTATCACATCCGTTTGATACCTGAACATAACAGCAAATGAATGATATGTGATTATCGCCCGTATCGCATTTCATTTTTAGTTTAAATTAACTTAGCATAAAATCTCTTAAATTATAAAACCTTTTTACATGAAGACTGATTGATACTCTTTGCATTTTCCAAAGATCTTATCGCCTCTCTGAATTCTTCACCCATCGCAATTATTCTAAAAACAAAAAACAAAAGGTTGTAATAATTTTTAAGCATAAATTTCTTTTAAAGAAATTGAAATTAATTTGGAAATTGGATGGGATTTCATAAATGTTTAGCATATGAAAATATAATATTTATAAAAATAAATTGAATAGGAAGAAATAAAACTTTTAAAATATTTATTTTGAACTGTTCAAAATTTGAATTTGAATTTTCTGGTCATAAATAAACAAATTATATACTATTTTTTGCTTATAAGATTTGATTCCTCAATATATGTCAAATAATTTTATTAAGGAAATGAAAATTTTATTCCAACCATAAAATGCAAGTAAACAAATAATAATAATTAATAATTAATAATTAATATAAATAATAATAATAAATTTCTTCATCAAAATAATTCTTCAAAGATATATTTTTCCTATGGAATTAAAAAGTATGTTTTGTTTCGATGAATTTTTGTGATATTTAATTTGCATCTTTCAATTTTATTTTCTATTCCATTGGTAATCTGTTACCACATTTTTTGATTAATAGTAAGTGTTGTCGTCCTAAATCTATCCCTCTTCTTTTGCCGTAAAATAGATAAAGAAGCCAGAAATTAACACAACAAAGTTTGCTTCAGTCAACTTAAAATAAGTTGTAAAATAAATTTAATAATAATGATGATGATAATAATAATAGTTTTTTATCATTGCTAGCTGGGAAAGTTTTATTTTGTAAGCCACAATAAACAACTGTCAGATAATGAAGTTGAGATTAAACAATGAAGAGAAGCTAAAAATTATGAAACATTTCATCTTCTGATTCATATTTATTAAGCAGCTGTTGAAAAACGGAAGTTTAAGTTAATCAAAAAACAACATAATGCAAAAATCGGGCTAAAATGAAGCAAATAAGAAGGAACATAAGAAGGATTGAAGTTATGAAAAACATTGGATTCTATTGTCTTCTGCACACTTATAGGTAATTGTAATTATTAATTAATTAAGCTCAGGTGTTTGAACCTTGCTGACGAGTTTATAAGAATTTTAAGAAGAAATTCGAACGGGAAGAAATAATTTAGTAAAATTTGATAACGTATAGTACAAGAAAAGAATAAAGCAATTTTAGCTGGACTGAACACAAAAGTTCACCCTAAAAATTCAATATTGCATGCAATCATTATTTGCGGTAATTAATAAAATGATAAAAAACTTATCAAGAAAACGCAACTTAAATTAAGCACTTTATCGATTGGGTTATAAAATGACCAGTAATTAATGTTACTGATAATTTCATGAACAAAAGCCTTTAAGATTGATATTTACTCATAAGGTTGGATTTGAAGATCTTCGAGCTAAGACTTGAAAAGAAGGAAAGGCTTATGTTAACTAAAATATTCAATATTCACCCTTTCATGGTAAATTGATCAGAAGAGTGCTTGACAAAAATTGTCCCTAAGGATTATAATTATTGCTATGGTAGTAGTTTGCAAAAATTTAAATAAAATATACAGCGTAAAATATAAGAAAGAACTACTACTACTATGCACCACTCAAACATTGCAAGTAATTGTACTTCGTGACAACGATCAGTTTAATATGCGAGAAATTTGCTGCAAAACTTTGCATAGTACGATTGTTTGTTGGCCCGAATCAATACCTTCTTTTATTTAATTACTTAGCTTTAGTCGTTAAAAATGTAAAATAGTGATATAGAGAAACTTTTCAACAATAGGTGACATTATGATATCATCAAATAAATTAAAATCATTTAGATATATTAGGCAGGAAATCTTTGCCATCAAATTTCGGTTGAAATTTAAATAAAAAAGAACGATTTAATTGAGTTGTAAAAATTGATAATCGTATTGTTGAATGAATAAAAAAGAGCGAAAGGAAAAATAATCATTTCATTTATTACATTTCACATAATTATAACTAACTGACTCGATAATTACCAATAATCCTTGAATTCTAAAACACTTAACATTATTTATATTCAATTAATTGTTTGCACTAAAACTAAACGCCTTTCGCCATTTTTGGATATATTTTAATGTATGACGCAGACATTGTTAATATTTAAGAGAATATATTATAAATTCTTTTAAAAAAGAATTTGATGATTTAATGATGATATCGAATTACTACTAGCATCATATATTAATTACGTGAAATGATAGTGGTGATAATTGACAGTGTTTTAAGGATTACGTAGCACTCATAATAGATAATATACTGCAGGGAAATGATGAAGGAAAAATGTCGATGAAAGAAGAAAATTGGACGGAAAAATATTTCGGTATAATTATGTGTACCGTTGAAGAGCTAATAAATAATATTTATTCTTATTTGGATAAACAGATTAACGTAGGTTATAACAGTGATTTAGCAACAAAATATTAAGAGAATTACAACTACTATTAACGATGTGCTAAAAATTTCCTTCTATTGTCATATTTTGAAAGTAATTTAAAAGTAGTCTTTGATAGAATCATATGAACATAGATTTGAAGCGGAAGAATGATAGAAGATAAGATGCTTCTTAATATGTTAGGATTCTAATTTCGTCAAAAATCATACTCTTTCTTGGAATCTCATCACATAGAATATGTTACTTATTTGGCATATCACATAATTAAAGTAACATTTATGAGAAAAAAACGATCATTTCAAAGTGAGATTTATGAGAAAAAGGACGTTGCAGAAAATACGACAGGCAATGAATAATGAAAGTGAAGAATCAGAATGAGAAGGAGTTTGTGATAAGTTTAGCATCTTTCTCATAGTTTAAGTTCTGAAATCGTTCTATCATTAATCATTTAATAATTAAAATTTCTGGTTTAAGTTTCTTTTATCACATGTAACTTGTCTCCTTCTATTTCTTCTTTCTTGACAGATATAACATTTAGTAGATAGAATATCAGTTCACAGAATTTCTCTGTAATTTCTAACTTTGTTATATTCATACATTTGCTATCGATTTTTTATTCAAAGAAGTTTCCTGTCCTTTTAAATTCTTCCATTCATTTTTCTTAATTTTGTACAATTTATAATATACCCATTCAACTAACATATTTACAGCTTTGTCCGCTTCAATGATCCATGTTATTAGAAATGATTAATTAAATATAATATGTTACTAGCAAATCAGTGCTACTATTTTATTCTTATCAGTGCTGCCATTTTGTTCTTTATCAATTTCAGGATAGAAGTTAACCGTTTTGTTGAGTTATGGAAAATATAGAATAATTAAATAAATGAAGATGAATGATGGGATAGAATTGTAATCCTAGTGGATTAATTGAGTATTTGATTATAAGTCCGAGCTGGTATTTAAGTTTAAAATTATTTCCTAAGAGAAAAGAGAAAAAAAGAATATTTTGTTCACCCTTTCCGATGCATCATAATCCATCGTTGTAATTTTCGAAATTAACATTATCGCATCATATCGTACCCAAGGGTTAAGCAAAATCTACGTTTAAGCCAAATTTCAAATTTCTGGAATGCAATGAAATAGATAGCATTAAAAGTCACTACTATTTTTTGAAGCATAAATACCAATAAAGTTGGTTAGAAGCTGGTAGTAGTGCTTTTAATTCAATTTGTACTTTCAATCTCTTCAGTAAATCG